TTCAGACTGTTGAACAGGTCAAGGACAAAGTTCAGACCGAGGCTGTTGATCAGACACAAGACCGCCTGCAACACTTGCACCGTGATTTGCCCGAGCTCGTTGGTAATCTTGGTGATAATCTCCAGAAGTGGGCTAATCCCCAGGCTCTTGACCAAAGCCCCGACCACGTCAAGTCCAAACGTGGCGTTTAAATTCAGAAGAGCATCGGCTTTTCAGACCAGCATTAGTAGAGTTGCAGAAACTGGACTTCGGCGCCGATGACGGCCTTGAGACCAACAACATTAAGGAGGTTCAAAAGGAAATCTAATTTTAGACCGACGCCGAAGTATTCTAACAGACATTCGAGAGCTTTTAGAATTTTAGGAACAGATACCGTCAGGTCAGTTAAATCGACAGCGTTGAGTAGAACGACAACTCTCTTCACTAGTTCCGGGTTGAGGACATTGCCTAAGAGATCGAAGACCCCCTTGATGAGGGAGTTCCCAGCGGGCGTCTTGCACTTCTCGTTCAGCCCAGTACCAAGGATACTTTTGACAGAGGGGAGCAGGTAGTCCAAGCCTACAACGCTGGTCACTGTGTTCAAGAGACAGTCGATGCCGCCAATCTGCGCCGTTCCGTTGACGACGACGTTGAGATCAAACAGACGGGAGCCGTTGGCGTTACAGAGGAAATTGTTCAGGGACAACAGGACGTCCAGCTGTAGGATCTTGACCAGCTGAATGACGACACCCAGGCCGAGTTTTTTAATCAAGCACAGGATTTTCCCGACGATTTCCAGGATCTCGCCCACGTCCAGACCGAGTGTTTGGGACAGGGTTTTGACGAGATTTCCCACAAGCCCTTTGTTCAACCCAAGCCCAGCCAACAGCCCCTTTGGTCCCAACAGCTGATCCACTAAAGGTCCAACCAAACTATTTAAAATACCTCCAACGGGACCATTTGGACCTAACAGGCTGCCTAACAGACCTTTCTCTCCCAATACTCCACCAAGAAGACCTCCGTCTCCGCCTAATAATCCACCGAGAAGACTTGTTTTATTACCACCGCCCAATAATCCACCCAGAAGACCTCCTTCGCCGCCCAATAATCCACCCAGAAGACCTCCTTCGCCGCCCAATAATCCACCCAGAAGACCTCCGCCACTACCGCCACCCAATAATCCACCCAATAATTGATCCAAAAGACGACGGTTCAGCTCCACCGCCTCATCGTTGACATCGGTCTCTGCTCTCACAGTGGCCACCAGCACCAGAAGTGGAATCAGTACAAGGCGCATCTGTAGGGGGTAGAGTAAAGAGAAGGTTGGCTGTTAGGGTTAGGGTTACAGAAACTGATGTAAGTTAGGAGAATCGTCATTTTTTTTTGAGGAGGTAGAACTAGTAGTCGATTGTGTGGTTAGAGTTACCGTTACAATCTAGTGTCAGTTTAAAAGTGTCTTTTACTCTAGACACAGAATTAGTAGGCGATTGTATATTAGGGTTAGGGTTACATTTAGTGGCGTCGCTAGGTCGGGTGTCACCCGTTGCGGCACTTTGTGAGGTCACCCCCCAGCCCCCCCCCCCCAGCCAAAAGACAAAGTATATATATATATATATATATATATATATATATATATATATATATATATATATATATATATATATATATATATATATGTGTGTGTGTGTGTGTGTATGTATGTATGAGTCGTTAAGTTTTAATATCTAATCACACACGATTAACTAATTAGAGCTAGGCGAGTTTAACTTTTGATAAGTTACGGACAAAGTTGCATTCTTTTTGTAGTTATAAAAAATAAATCAACATGTAAATAACATTATTTTCTTATTCAAAAGAAATAATTTAAAAATCGTAAGCTTATATAATGAAAGATATAAATTTATTCTAAACCATCTTAACGCTAACGTGCATTACCCTTACCTTGACGGGTTACCAAACCTTAGACAACAGATATGAACGTGCTATGGAGCCAGGAGACCAGATATAGACCTGCAAGAATTCTCTGACTATAAATACAGTTGGAGATGGCAGACGTGTGATTTCATTAGTGAGCTTCTCCGTCTGACAGCGCCACCTAGCTGTTGGGCAGGCGGCCATGACACCTATCATCTTACCTTCATCTTGGCACGTGCGAGCTGCCTTATATCGGATCGTTTACACGTGAGTGACTTCATAGACGAGCGCTGAGGTTGTAGCGGCTGGAGTTCTAGGTGAGTAATAAATGTGACTCACGTTACATGGTGCAAGAAAGTGACCCGCAGGTGTGAGTCAGCAGATGAGCATTACCTGAAAGTGACCTACGGGTGTGACATTTCATAGAGTATTACAAGAAAATGTGCGCAAGGGACGCTATCCGTGACCACAGTACACGGAATAGCAATGTGGGGGCAGATCACTGGGTCACCTTATTAGTTGAAAGTTTTCTCCAACGTTGTAGGCCCTACCGCATATTTATACAGATTTTTAACATTAGATAGAAATCTTTTCAATTTTTTTAGTTTTTATGATAAAAGTAATTCTGCTGTAATAAAGTTGTATCTAAATAAACTAAAATTTCGCAATTTTTTTGGGGTGGGGGGGGGGACGTGGTCGTATGGTAGAGCGTACGCCTGCACACCCAAACACTCCAGTTCGGATTCCGGGCTCAAGTCCTCAGTGTTTCTTCCAGATAAATTGGGGGGGGGAGGCGGACACTGTTAAAAGTATATATTTTCTATATAAATTCCATTTCGTTCGGGGTGGCGGTAGACTTTATTCGGGGGTGGGTGGGTAGGGGGGGGGGGGGGGCGAAGAAACTCTGCAAGTCCGTAGGACGCCCTGAGACAACCAAATTCTGATGAGTACCTGACTCATGTTCGGGAAACAAAAGAAAGCTCAGCATAGTACTGACCATGCTATCCCGCAAACAGACGAACTCTACTTCATCGGCCCCAACGATCGTCATGCTTGAACGGGCAACTTTACACAATTAGTTGAGTAGAATAAACGAGGGACTCTGATGGGTACCTAACTCACGTTAGGGGAAGTAAAGACGGCTGACCACATTACCCTTTATATGACGCGATCGAGAAACATATGAACTCCACTTCATCTGCCCAATGGATCGTTAGGTCTAAAGAGGAATCTTTACTTTTACTTAGTAGAATAAACGAGAAGACCATTGGTTTTCGAAATACTAAGAACCAGAGGGCGTGGTCAAATAGAAGAGCGTTTGGCTGTTAGCGTGTAGGTTTCAAGATTAAATCTAGGTTCGAACATATACTGAAGGACGTCCCTAATTCCCCGCCCAGATCTTATGGTACCCTCAGAGGCGTAGCGACCCTCCCCGGCGCCCGGGGACAAACTTTTCGATTTGCAATCCCCCCCCCTCAAGATTCGATTTGCACCCCCCCCCTCAAACTTTCGATTTGCACCCCCGCCCCCCCTTCGAGATTTCCATTTGCACCCCCCCCCCCCTCAAACTTTCAATTTATTTTTCCAACCCATTTTGGCGCCCCCTAAGGTCGGCGCCCGGGGGACATATGTCGTCCCCCCCCCCCCCCCGCTACGCTACTGGGTACCCTGACTAACGTTGGGGTAAGGGAAGGCAGATGGGTTTAGTGCTGGACCACACCATCCTTTCATATGCCGAGGTCAAGAAACATATGAACACTACTTCATTCGCCTGATTGACCGCGAGGTCCAAAGAAGAATCTTTACTTTACTAACTTTCATACGGCAGTTTTTGTTTTAATTCAATTCAGGGCAATGGATTGAAAGGAACCTAAATCTTCAAAATGTCGGATTTTTGTCTGGGATGATAAATGTCCTTATTACAAGTAAACATTTAAGAAACATCTTATGTATGTTTTTTAACAGTTTGATTTGTGTGTAGTTGTAAATGTATTGGTTTTGTAATATAAGTTGAGGAGTATATATATATATATATACGAGAAAAATGGCCCGTTGAGGAAGGATACAACGGGCGCTAGGCTGATAGTGCTGTCTCTTTTCTCTAAACTAAAACCACCCCACCCCACACACACACCACCCCCACCCCCCCCCCACACACACACACCACCCCCCCCACCCCCCCCCCCCCACACCACCACCCCCCCCCACCCCCCCCCAAAAAAAAACATGTCTACCGTCCCATTCAACGAAATATAATTATATACTTTTTCCAGTGCCCGCCCCCTCCCCGAAAATTCTACCCCCCGCCACCGAAAATTTCAAGTACCCCCCACCCCTCTCCGGGGAGGAAAAAGTCTAAACTAAAACCACCCCCACCCCCCACACACACCACCCCCCCACACACACACCCCCCCCCCCCCCCCAAAAAAAAAAAAACCATGTCTACCGTCCCATTCAACGAAATATAATTATATACTTTTTCCAGTGTCCGCCCCCTCCCCGAAAATTCTACCCCCGCCACCGAAAATTTCAAGTACCCCCACCCCTCTCCGGGAGAAAAAAAGTCTAAATTAAAACCACCCCTACCCCCCCCCCCCCCCACACACCCCCCCCCCCCCACACCCCCCCCCCCCCACACCCCTAAAAAACATGTCTACCGTCCCATTCAACGAAATATAATTATATACTTTTTCCAGTGTCCGCCCCCTCCCCGAAAATTCTACCCCCGCCCCCGAAAATTTCAAGTACCCTCACCCCTCTCCGTGGAGGAAAAAGTCTGAAAGAAACACTGGTGTCGCGCATAGCCACTACGCGAAGAATTGCATTAAAGAAATTGCAAGAAAACCACTTTTTAGATTAGACACATTAATTAGGCGGTAATTTTATTATAGAGTATCGATGAGGAAATTTCTTTTGAGTTGGGGAGGGGGGGGGGGGGCTCAGACGTTCTTACGCGGGGGTGGGGCTTCGCCCCTACCCGAAGAATTGTATGAAAGAAACTCTTCACGCAAACCACTTAGATTAGACAAAATTTCCTCGAGTCTATCCGGCTAGAGATTATTTTCTACTCTGTGCTAAATGTGAAGACGTCATACTTCGTTTTTCGAATTACTATGCATGTTTTTATTTTCCTTGTGTTTTCTCTAGAGCGTTCTTGTCAGACAGATAGATAGATAGACAGACAGCGAAACTATTAGTATTAATATATATATATATATATATATATATATATATATATATATATATATATATATATATATATATATATATAAAGGCCTATTTTTATATCATTGAGTTTTTTGCAGCTGTCTGGTGCACAATATTCTTCTCGTATTTCACTCGCTGTTGGTATCTTAACACTTCCAGCTATTATATTACTACATTACTACTTGTATATTAAGCATAAATCACACAAACACGCATATATCTATATAGTGTATTGGGGTCATCCATAAATGACGTCAAGCTTTTTGACGATTTTTACATTCCCCTCCCATCCCTAACAAAATGCCAGACTACCCCCTAAAATGACATCACACTTCAGCCGACAACCCCCTCCCTCTTGAGAATTACATTGAATTTTTTTTAACGATTTTTTTTTCAAAAATATGAACTGAGCTCGACCAATATAGGGTATTTTTTTTTATAATTTCTATTACAATTTAGTATAAATTTTCTAAAACGCGAAATGACGGCTAAAATTCGGTTTCAAACATTTTTTTTTAAATGCAATAGTATGACGTCACACTGAGATTCCCCTCCCCCTATTTATAAACGAACTCATATTAATGTGTATACAGGGATTAAGTTTTTGAGATTCTTTAGGTCTAAATGTAAGGTGGGGTGGGAAAGAGTAAAAAATGTTAATTTTATGTAGGCCCTACCCCTTCTTAAATGTAAATCAAAATTAGTGGCCTTAAACATTGGGCCCAACACACCTGAGTACCCCAGCCTGTAGCAGGTTCAGCCCTAACCTTAATCAGTTTACCTGACCAGTGTTTCTTCCAGACTTTTTTCTCCGGGGGGGGGGGGGGCACTTGAAATCTTCGGGGGGGGGGGGGGGGGGGGGCGGTAAACTTTCTTCGGGGGGGGGGGGGGGCGGACACTGTTAAAAGTATATATTTTCTATATAAATTATATAAATTTCATTTCGTTCGGGGGGGGGGGCGGGTAAAAATTTTTCGGGGGGGCTTTGCCCCCCCCCCGAAGAGATGCCTGGAAGAAACTCTGTACCTGACCAAATTTTGATTCCTTCACAAATATGTGGTGCTACCTATCTAAAAAAACACTAGGCTTAAATGGTTTCTAGTTAGAAGGGAGATAACCGGTTTGACCCATGAATCAGTTTAAAGTATTAGTTAAAATACGAATTAAGTTAAAAAAAAAATTTTTACATAAGTAAAACAAAGGTAATTCCATACATGATAACAGTTTATTGTTTCACAATTATAAAAATATCAACATACAACATTTATTCTCAAATGTACATGACCATAATAGTTGACAACTCTGATTCAACCAGCTTTTTTTTTAGCTAATTACTTCCCTTGGACCATATCTTTAATGAACACACTGAGGTAACCAATAGCCAACAGATATTATTTGTAGATAATTTTTCTGACTTCCTGATGTTAAGCCATTACGATGTTCCACTACAAATTATCTGCCTGTAATCCACTTTAAGTATTTTGCGGCTCCTTAAAATCAATCTGCCATGATAGTCCTTGTGGCTCTTCCCAGGAATCTGCCCCTTAATCCATCATAGATGTTTCCTTCTGTATCTGTTCATAGCATGCCTGCATCAAAAACTTGAAATGCGGCTGCTTGGTCAGACTGGACAGTTCCTTGGCTGACATCAGGACTTTCAGCTCTGGGAGAAGTTGCTCCAACTCATCTACAGGGGGGAAAACATTCATTGCATTTTAGACGTGACAAATAGGCTTTATGGGCTTTGGGTTTTTTTTTTCATTTTAAATAATCCCATTCAAGTATTCTTTAAAATATCAAGAAATAGCTAAAAACTGTCAAAAACTGTCAAAAAGAATGTATTGACACAAGGCCTTCTCCAGAAGAGTCTACATGTAGCTAATAATGTAATATCAGGCAGTGGAAATAAACATCAGTTTGAATGCAACACAAAGACATCATACATTACCATTCATACAAACCACAACAGAAAACACACACATAGATGCATATCAACCATATGAAGCAAAACACAAAACACATCCTACATACCATCGATATGAACCATAACACATACATAAATTTATAATACCATCAATATGAACCGCAACACCAAACACATCCTACCTACCATCAATATGAACCACAACACATGCATACCATATATATGAACCACAGCAGAACACCAAACACATAAATACCAACCATATGAACCACAACACAAAACACATCCTACATAGGCCTACCAACCTAATGAACCACAACACAAAACACATAGGCCTACCAACCATATGAACCAAAACACATCCTACATAGGCCTACCAACCTAATGAACCAAAACACATCCTACATAGGCCTACCAACCATATGAATCAAAACACATCCTACATAGGCCTACCAACCATATGAACCAAAACACATCCTACATAGGCCTACCAACCATATGAACCAAAGCACATCCTACATAGGCCTACCAACCATATGAACCAAAAAACAAAACATATCCTACATAGGCCTACCAACCATATAAACCACAACACAAAACACATCCTACATAGGCCTACAACCCATATGAACCAAAACACATCCTACATAGGCCTACAACCCATATGAACCAAAACACATCCTACATAGGCCTACCAACCATATGAACCAAAGCACATCCTACATAGGCCTACCAACCATATGAACCAAAAAACAAAACATATCCTACATAGGCCTACCAACCATATAAACCACAACACAAAACACATCCTACATAGGCCTACAACCCATATGAACCAAAACACATCCTACATAGGCCTACAACCCATATGAACCAAAACACATCCTACATAGGCCTACAACCCATATGAACCAAAACACCAAACACAATCTACATACCATCCATATGAACCAGATCCACTGTTTTGAAGAAAATTTTATCTTTAACTGAGTCTAAGGGGTCTGTCTCCTCCTTTGTTCTTTCACTCCAGCTTTTTAAAATTCAAACAAAAAACATCAAGTATTTTAATATTTTAAATAAGAAAATTATTTTAAATTATTTTAAAACTACTGCATAATGTATCTGCATTTGGTTCAAACAACAGAATAAAAATTTAAAAAACTTACTCATCCATTAGAATAGCCCTACACCAAATGTGAAGCCTCAGTGCTTCATAATCGTGTTCACCTTCCTAAAAAATATTTAAATTTAAATAGGGCAGCCGTTTTTTTCAATTGACCTACACACTAAAATTTTAATTTTAGGCCCCCTTCACACCTACTTAAAATACTGACACAACATACACAAAATTTGAGTTTTAAAATGTCTAGCAGAAAATGCTGCATCATACAAAGTTTTTTTAAAGTCTGTATTATGTTTGGGTCTGCGTTAGTGTGAACGTCAGGGTTAGGATTAGGGTAGCATTGCAAATAAAGGGCATCACATGCATCCTGCCATTGATTCAGCTGGCAACCCAGTTTATTTTAAAATTCAAGGCGTGGCTTTCAAAAAATATTACAAAAAATAATTATTAAAAAAAACAGGGCTGATTGTTGGTTTACCTTATCAATGTGATGCAACAGGTCTAAAGCTTTCTTCACATCCCCTTCATTGGCTGACTGGTTGTGTTCACTGATATACAGCTGCAATGATTCATTAGAAGACAAGACTGTTTACATTCAATTTCAGATGAAATTGTTTTTTAAAATATAATAAATTCTTTATAACTCTAATGTTTGCGTCACATCACGCTCATTGGCTGACTTGTTTAAATTAAAATATTATAAATAAAATACAAGTGAAGTTTGTTTCACATCTCCCTTATACAGCTTCAAAGATTCAGCAGAGACAAAACAATACACACTATTTACTTTCACATACTTATTTTTAAAAATGCCATCACGTAAATATATATTTTAACTCGGAAGTTTGTCAATCAGCAAATAGAAAAAAAATATGGTCTTTAAATAATTAACTCTGCAACCATAGGCTAAAATAGGTCCCATGATTTAATGTTACAGTTTTACAGTCAACAGATGATTATTTTTAACTTAATAATAAAAAATTTAGATTGTTAAAAAATCAAAAAGTCAAAATGTTGTATAGATTAGGTATGTATAAAATAATTTTACAATTGTACCTCAATAAGTTCAACTGGTGTTAAAACACGCATGTTGTTAGGATCCATCCCTACATTCTGAAAATAGAAAAAAAAAACGATTTCATTGTTGAATGTATTGATAATACATTAGTAAAGAAATACAAATTATAAAAACAAAAAGGAGGCTGGAATCTACGGTCTATATGGCAAATAGCATGTTTAAACTTGATACTTAACTGGGAACAAAAAAAGAAGGAAATATAAATATTTCAAATACATAATTGAAAGTAACCTAACACTGTGTTTACACTTCAGATTTATATACTATAAGTAAAGTTCCCTTTCAAATTTGACAGTCTATGAGGCAAGTGAAGTAGAGTTCACTTGTTTCTGTGACCTTGGCATATGAAGGGATAGTGTGGTCAGCAATATGCCCAGCCGCCTTTACTTACCCTAACGAGAGTTAGGTACCCATCTGAGCTGGGTGGACTCAGGGACAGTTTACCGAACGTATATACATGTCTAGAAAAAAACTTGCTGCAAGTAAGTATACTTGTTCCATGGGAAAAACGTTTTTATATAACAATTAGTTAAGTTTTTTCTAGACGTGTATAGTATACATGTCGCAAGTGTTTTTTGAATTTAAAATGGGAAAGCACTTTTATACAGAAAGAAATGAAAAAGATTAGCAGGGGGAAAAGCACTTTTATAGAGAAAGAAATGAAAAAGATGAGCAGTATCTTCTACCTGAACTGTTTCTACTGGCAGTACTTCCTGGTGTAGGATCAGATTTAGTTCTTCATTGATCACTAGACAAAAAAGGTAAACAAAAAACAAATGTTTTCTACCTGAATTGTTTCTACTGGCAGTACTTCCTGGTGTAGGATCAAATCTAGTTCTTCATTGATCACTAGACAAAAAAGGTAAACAAAAAACAAATGTTGGGAAAATGGCAGATCATTGCTTTTTTAATAATAACAATATAGTCTGTATTATATCTAAAATCCCATTTTAACAAAAACCAAGAGGAGTTGACAATCAGGATTGTTAATTTACTTAACAAAATTACTTCCCCATTGACAGCAATTGTTAACTTACTCTCTATACGATCCTGTATATCATCTTCCTCCTCATCTGCTGCAAGAGCCGCAAGCTTGCTTAAACTTAGCAATGTCTGCTTACAAAACAATTCATTAAAACACTGCAACTTTTTAACAATTTCTAAGTCAAATGTAATATCTTACATAAAGAGCTAGTAACTAATTAAAAAAATACTATGTAACATTACTTAACTGAGTTACACAATACATTTATTTGAGTTAAAAAACTTTAAGGGTAAACAAAAAATTTTTTTTAATAATCTACTTTTATTTAAAAGTGTTTACTTTACCTTTTTCTTGGCCAGGAAATTTGTTTCCATTCTGGCCAAATCTGCCAGTGTGTCATGAGCCTGGAAATGTTAAGAAATCTTATATTACTTGAATATTGGTTTGTTGACATTTGAAACATTTGTGAGACCATTCTACAACCTGGGCTCACCTTCGATAAGACCTTATAACAATCTGGTTTATCTACACTATACAGATGAAATGGATTGTGTTTATCTGTGGGTGGCGGGATTTTTTATGGAACCTTTGCATACAGTAGAAGACTACACTTGAGCAGCAATGTTTAATTTTTTTTTAAGGTTTTTACTTTTTTACATAAATCAATTTTGAAAACTCAATATTTTCCTTTAAAATAAGTGTTCATTTTGCAACTTAACATCTTAAATAACAAAATCAACCGAAATTTATTATCCTTCACAGATATAATTTTATCTGAAAATATTGTACAAATTACTTTCCTTTAGGTGGTAGGCTATATGATTTACAAAAATTTAAATTATATTAGGAAAAATTCAAATTTGTGTTCGTGCTTACTATTGAAATTGTGGTAAGGGTTAGGGTTTATGTTTATGTCTGTTTGTGTTGATGTTTGTGTTTATGTGGTTGTTTTTTATTTGGGCACAGAACTTTAAGGGAGAGGAGAGGGTTTATGTTTGTGGTTGAGATGGAGGTTGTGGTGAGGGTTGAGTTATATTTATATTTATGTGTGTGGTTGGTTGTAGTTGAGTTTGGTTTAGGGTTATATTTTTTTTTTCAGACTTCTATATTGGTATACAGACATTTAATTGGAATTTTTTTTTTAATTTAAATTCTTTTTTAAAGCAAGGAAATTTCCTCCATCTGAGGCAAATAAAAAAAAACTTACAGCAAGGAAATTTCCTCCATCTGAGGCAAATAAAAAACACAGCGAGGAAATTTCCTCTATCTGAGGCAAATAAAAAACTTACAGCAAGGAAATTTCCTCGATTGATCTCATGCAACCAGCTGAGATACTTGACATTGCTGGAGTCTAAAAATTTACTCAGTTCATCCCCCTGTGAGACAGGCTGTGACAAAAGGTGACCTCTTTTTCCTAGGGAAATTTGGTTTATAACAATCAAACTATACAAGTAGGCCTACAGTCTATTTTATAAATCAAAAATGATTTTTCTTTTATAAAAGCTTAAATTTGTGTGTTAGTTTGAAATTATTTCAACTAACCAACAAAACTAAAAAGGAGATGATTCTGCAACCTGAGCTTTAACTATTTGGTTTATGTAGAGCTACAGTAGGTATGAGAGAACAAAAAAATATAAACTTATGCACAGAAGAATGACTTACCTTCTTTCATGTACCAGTTGAATGAAAATTGAGCAAACCCCTGAAAAAATGATTTAAATTGATTTATAATTAAAGAAAACAAAATGGTAGATAATAATTACTACTTTTTAAGAAATTTAAGTTGTACTGAATTATTTGTAAACTCCAAGAATAGTCTAAAGTAGTGAAAAAACTGTCAACAGTTTTGTTTGGTAGAATTGAGAAATGCTTGGTCTTTAACTGTTTAATATGTAGGAAGGGTTGTCCATAAATGACGCCACATTCCTCAGAGGGAGAAGAGGGGTTCGGAAATTATGTGATGAATGAAGGAAAAGTGGAATGGGCAGAAGTGTGATAACACACTTTTGCGGTTAAAGAAATCATCAAAAAGTGTGATCTTATTTATGGATGGGCACCAAATGCTAAGAGGCTTTTATTGTTACCTTGTCAGCAAACTGAGACCGGTATTTATGTATCCTCTCCTGGTTGTCAGTGACGTCACATATCCTCATCAGCATCTCAAAGTCCTCGTACTTCTCCCCCAGGGATGCTGCTCTGTCGTACTGCTTGTGGTTCACTGTTTGAATACAAAAAGGTTAAGCTTGATGAGATCTGGTCAGTCATTCCAGGGTTATAATAATATTATTAGCTTATTAAATAAGCTGACATAAATAAATGGTTAGAAAGGCACAAATATGTGACCTCAATGAATGTGTCGATTTCAAAATGGAAGTTACTGGTATGAAAAAAATAAAGCTGGCTATTTCAACAATAAGTATTTTTTTTTACTGTATAAACGTGAATTAGTTTAACAGACATAAAATGTATAAAAATATATTAAAATAATTTTAAAATTAAAATAATAATTCATTAAAATGTATTTAGTGAATGGATACACACTTTATGTATATATAAAGAATTAAAATAATGTATAACTAAGTTTAACATCCCTACTTTGCGGGAATTCACTTATCACTAGTAGACCTGGAACAGAAATTGTTGTGATAAATGAGGAAAAACTAAACAAGATGCAAAAAAAAATGTGTCGCTTACACAGTGGTAGAATCAGCTTGTGTCTTTCTTTCTCAAACTCCCTTTCCAGCTTCATGTAGTCCTCCTGCCTGTTCTCATCTAACAGCAGAGACTTCAGCTGGCTCGAGTACCCGTCCATGATGAAGTCCGCCAGGCTCACAATGTTGTCAAACAAGGAACCCTGCACGTCGACCTCACGAGTCACAGAGATGGCTTTGTCTAGCGTCAGCCCAATCTGAGAGAGATTTAGTTTCACAATTGTGAGACAAGTAAAAAAAACATTTAAGAAAAAACACAGGACCTCACAAGTCACAGAGATGGCTTTGTCTAGCGTCAGCCCAATCTGAGAGAGATTTAGTTTCGCAATTGTGTGAGACAAAAAAAAAATCTATGAAACAACGCAGGACCTCACAAGTCACAAAGAAAGCTTTGTCTAGGGTCACCCCAATCTAAGAGAGATTCAGTAGCACAATTGTGTGAGACAATTAAAAAAACATTTAAGAAAAAACGCAGGACCTCACAAGTCTAAGAGATGGCTTTGTCTAGGGTCAGCCCAAATCTGAGAGAGATTTAGTTTCGCAATTGTGAGACAAAAAGATATTGTTTTCTTCTTCTTCGTTCTTAATTTTTAGTGTTAGAAGGGATCCACCTCCAGCACAATTAAGGCTAGGTGTCAACTGGTTATGCTCCATTGAGGTCATTGACTCCGCTTTCAGCCTGCTTTTCTTTTTGGATTTGCTTCCATAGCCTTTGTCCAACCAAGAACAAACTACAAGGCAGCAGTTGTTTGATTTTGGAGTTGTCTCTCCTAGAAGAGTGACTGCCCCCAGCTAACGAGCCTAATCTGCCCGAGTGTTCGAACTCGAGACTTTTCGGTTTAGCAACCTTGAGCTTTTCAGACTCGACCACGCCGACCCCCTCAAAATATTCTTTTAAAAACTTCAAGAAATTAAAAAGTAATGGTATTGAATAAAAAGCTCTTCACCAAAATCAACCCAAAAAAATTTTAATTTTAAATTAAAGTCCACATTTTTTTAACTTTTTGAAAAAACTGCTGTTTGCTGTAATTTTTTCCACAAAACTCTGGAGGCTACAAAATGGATATTATTTTAATTGCCTATGTTAACAAAATGTTCTGAAGAAATATACCTTCCTTTTTACAAGTGTATTTAAGTTTTATTTACAACTGTAGAGTTTAGCAGCTGGCTAGACTAGCATCAATCTGACATTTTTTTGTTATAAATAATTGAAGTATTGTTGGACAGTTGTATTGACAAACAAATTGTTTAAATTTTAATTGTTTGTAAAAATTATAGAGTAGATTACTAGATTATTTTAAATAATTTTTAACATTAATGTCGGAGATAATCTAAAATGTGTGGAGAATGAAAGCAAATTTTCTAGTACCTGGTCTGTCATTATTTTCCTCATAATGCTGGTTGCTGTCCAAGGAATGTACTCTGGTATCTCTTCATTGTCAACAGAGTAGTACTCCTCATTCTGTTGTCTATACTTAAGGGCATTGTGCAGCATACCCTGAAAGGTGTGAGCATGGGATCTATTAGATTTAAATGTTTCAAAGTAGGCATATACAGCTCAGTATTTGTTCATGAATTTTAGTTTGGCTTTTTTTTTACAAGCAACAAACTACTTAAAAACACAAATCACCTAAGACACAAAACAAAAACATAAAAATGTAAATAACAAGATAAGGTACTTTAAAACAAATTTAAAAGCAGACTTCAGGCATGAAGAAACAAACATTAAAAAACAAAAACCATGATATATGAAACAATACAAGAAGTTTAAAGAACTAAAATATACTATTGGCTATAGGCTTAAAGAAAATACATAAAAAATATAAATCATATGATACATGAAACAAAACAAGAAGTTTAAAGACCTGGAAAATACTGTTGACGGCTGACACCAAGTTAACGATGTTACGACTGCTCTGATCAGATGACAGAGTCTCTTTTTCATACATGACCAGCAGCTGCAGGATCTCATGGATGTTGGACACCTGCAGGGGAGAGAACAGTTAACTCAATTCTTTGAGGAGTCTAGCCAATAGTGGCAAAACAAAAGTACTACATTTTTGGACACTGTCCGTACTGTTGAAATAATTTTTTTTTTGTTTTAAAAAATCAAATACTGATTTTAAACTTAACTCTAACCATAGCACTGACTCTAACCCTAACTCTAAACCCTCCCACTAACCATAACTGTAATTAATATTTGATTTTTTTAAACATAAAAAATAATTTTGCCAGTACCGACAATAGTAAAAAGTATAATTTCAGTAATTCCGTTTGCCACTACCAGCTAATCCCAAATCTCACATTTTTGTTAAGCAGTAATTTGATTTGTTATTTTAAAAATAATTTTACATTTTTAAAATGACTACAAACAACTCTTGAGAAAGTAAGATTGCTAAATACAAAATTTGAACAAAATGCCATACACAATCATTATTGTACTTTTATTCTAAATTAATTATTTTAAATCATATGTTATCCACACCCATTTTTGTACTTTTATAAAAAAATTTCTTAGTTCAAATTATATGTTATCTACAAATATTTTCATAATTTTATTCAAAGTTTCTTTTTTTGGATTGCTAAATATAAGGTCTACTATACTACTGTATTTTTGTTGTACAATTATTTGTACTACGAGATAAAAAAAAACTATGGCAAGAGATTGTCACTTACCTCCCTGTAAAACATGTCCTGTGCTGTTAGGGTTGGAGGTATGGCCACACGTCTTTGCTTCAACACTTTGCTTATACAGTGGTCAACTATTTTGTGGTGGCTGGAAAAGCGTAACCAGTTTAGTTTTATAATCTCAAGACACAAACATAAAAAAAAAAATATTTTGTTATTAACGAATTACAAGACATGAATTTTGGCTAAACAATAGACAAGACCTGCATATTATTTCAATTATTTCTAAGATTAGATCACAAAGACCTCAGTCACACCTGATTATTAAATCAAATGATGCATATCAAAGATGACACCTGTAAACAGTAATTCATTTCTAAGAACACCTGACTAATTATTATGTTGTATGCTCTAGTTGGTCTTGAGTTCGAATCCAGGATTTAAGCCAGTAAACGTCTGTGAGTCCACCCAGCTCTGATGGGTAACTAACTAACGTTAAGGCAAACAAAGGTGGCTGGGCATAGTGCTGTAAACACAATCCCTTCATATGCCGAAGTCTCTAAAGCAGATGAACTCTACTTTACCTTCTCCATGTGTCTTGGCACAAATGGAAAAAGATGATGCTCTAGTTGATTCCGTTTGATTTTTTTTGATACTTAAGGAGTTGTATGACAACTGAAAATGGAACCTTAAAAAAAGCACTACAAAAAAAAACTGTTAATACATACTCAGCGTGTAGCTCTCTCAGGGCCATGGCAGCTTCAAGCTTCTCCACATGTTCACAGAGCAGCCTGCGAGTTGGCATCAGGGAGCCACGGACACCAACAACACTCAGCTGTGGGATAATTAGGATATGATATAATGTACACCAACAACACTCAGCTGTGGGATAATTAGGATATGATATAATGTACACCAACAACACTCAGCTGTGGGATAATTAGGATATGGTATGACATACACACACAACACTCAGCTGTGGGATAACTAGGATATGGTATGACATACACACACAACACTCAGCTGTGGGATAACTAGGATATGATATGACATACACACACAACATTTAGCTGTGGGATAAATAGGATATGATATATTGTACACCAACAACACTCAGCTGTGGGATGATTAGGATAATGGTATGACATACACTCACAACACTCCGGTGAAGGATAATTAGGATAATGGTATGATGTACACCCACAAATACTCAGCTTAGGGATAATTAGGATAATGGTATGACGGACACCCATAACACTCAGTTGTGGGATTAATAGGATAATTAATATGACAGAGACCAAAAAAACTCAGCAGTGGGATAAACAGGATAATAGCATGCTCACTAGTTTCAAATATACACATTGAGCTTTTACCCAGTGTTACACTTAACTAGGTTTTTGTTTTTAAATTTTAATTAACGAGCTGTGAAGAGAATACATACTTGCTCCCAGATGCCGTAGTTTTTCAAAAAGTTAACAAACAAATCATGTGCCTTTTGTTTATCTTTGAGCTGCTGTATGATGATGACTGATGCTGTGCTGCTGGTAGAGTCTAAGATTTATAGAAACAGATATTAACACAAATGTTTTGTCTATAGCTACTTCATAATGGGAACAGAAATAGACAAAATGGTAGATTTATACAGCAACGGAATTATGGGAAGAGAAACAGACAATAAGAATTTAGCAATAATGGGAATTTAAAATGGGAACAGCTGCCCTTTTTATTAACATAAACATTTATCAGACCAGAAATATTTATTATGTCAATTTCTTTACCTTAACATAAGCGTATAGATTAAATTTTTGTGAACATGGATACAGTCACCAAATAAAAGATACTAAACTTGTATAATGGATAATAAATAAAAATTCCTATATTAAAACTGAGCAAGGCATTATTGTGTAGCAACCAGATGAGTAGCTATGACACACAATTCATACATTCTCCAGCCGTTAATTATATTTGGGTGAGTACCTTGTTTGTCTGATTCCGCCCAGCGTGGGTCAGCATTAGGGTAATCATCTGTCAGATCCTTGCTGACCCCAGACACGACGTTGTCCAGCTCCGCCCACTTGACACTCGGATCTAGACGAGCAGGGTGGAGAATCTCATCCACTATGCTCTGTACCTTGTCCTGCAACAAAGAAATGTTCCAAAGCAACTATTAGGTTTAAGTAAACTACTGTATTTTTTTATGTATAAAATAACTAAGCAGCACAGAAATGTTCAAGAACATTCTAATTGTACAATTTAATTTAAATACAATATTTCTTCGCATGTAACATGACAGAGCATTTACGGCGACCCCGTACTTTTCCAGTTAAAATTTAGAGTTTGGGGTATATTTGCCCTGTAAGACAACACCTGGCCTATTAGATGACCCTTCCCACACCCGACTTATTAGAATATTTTCTTTTTGGGGTTGAAACATCATCACAAATTTTACCATATATAAAATACAGTACTTTTTTTTAAACCATGGTACTATTATGAGCAGTAACATTCCCTCTAAGGAAAAAACAATTTCTGCGCAAAATATATTTTGTGTGCAGTGTTCCAAATGACCATACAGCAGTTAAAAAAATACAGAGTAATAGTGTGATCACACAGTTTTATAGGGAACATTTGCAGGGCAATACAGCATCATGAGCTTTTTCCACCTTTACCATTATTTGTTAGAATTAAGGTATAGCAACTCAGCCATTTCAATACACCCTCCAGGGGATAACCAAAGTCCTAATATAAATAGTAATCAAACTGTTAGTGTTAGTCCCCTGTTTTACTACTGTTTGCATAAACCTCACTGCAGCTAACATCTTTACTTATGTATTAATTCTCAAGAATTAATGAATTCAATAACAGATTCACAGAACAAAAGAATGAAAAGTTTTTAATTTAATAACTGACTTAAAGTACTTAAGGTGATAGAGTACCAATTATAAACTAAGTAGTCTACAATCAAAGTGGTGATACATCTACAAAAAAAGCCTAAAGCCTTTACAGAACTATATATAGTGAATCTACTACACCAAAGGGCTATTAGTAGACAGGGATCAATTTATTTAAGGTATCTGTATAGAGGGTTATACAACCAAAGTATCATTACAATGTTTTATTTCTGAGGTTCAAACATAGGGATAAATAACTTAACCAGCACTGTCCCATACTTTATTCTTGGTGGTCTATAAACACACTAAATGCATGTAATATTACGATATCCAACTAAGAAAAATATACGTTTATTTAAACTAGTTATTATCCAAAGGAGAAAAATATTTGTTTATCTTTAGACTAGTTTATATCCAAAGGAGAAAAATATTTGTTTATCTTTAAACTAGTTTATATCCCAACTAATAAAAAAATATTTCTTAATTTTAACTTGTTTAACAATGTGTTCCAATGAGACCAGGTCTATTTATCTATTTACACTATCTTGACTGGATGAGACTAAAAAAGCTATTTGTATTCCAATTATAGTAACAACAAATATAAGTCTACAAAAACAATAAAAATCTAAATAAACAATTTTTCTGCTAATAGGACAGTTATACTCACAAAATCTTTGCTGGATACTCACACTATCTTTGCTGAATGAGGTTACAAAAGCACCTTTAAGCTTAGTTGTGTTATATAACAACAAATTAAAATCTAAGTAAACAATTTTTCTGCCAATAGGGCAGTTATACTCACTCGATCCTCACTGATTGAGGCTATAAAAGCACCTTTCAGCTTAGTCTTGTTGTCACTGCTCTCCAACATCTCACTAAATTTCCCAGCATTTGACACCATACAAGTCTGTTATAAAACAATTTGACACTTCTGTTATAAAACATACAATTTGACACATATAAGTATGTTATAAATAAAACAATTTGACACCATACAAGTCTGCTATAAAACAATTTGACACGATACAAGTATATTATAAAACAAACAATTTGACACCATACAAGTCTGTTAGAATTAACAATTTTTTACTTCATTATTAATTCTGAATTTGACAAATTTTGTTAAATACAATCATTTGCTGGTATAGTTAGTCACCACATATGTAACTGTATATTTGGAATTGAGATAAGGTGAAAGATTGTCAGGTATACCATGTCTACAAATAAAAGATATATCTGACTAGCACTAAAAAACAATTTTTGTGTTTTCAAATCGTTAAAATTTTATTATTATTATTTTCAAGCAATCATCATCTTTTCCCATTTGTGCCCAAGACACATTGGCAAATGAAGTAGAGTGCATCTGTCTCAATGACCTCGGCAGTGTGGTCAGCACTATGATCAGCCGCCTTGGTTTACTATACATAAGTCAGGTACCCATTAAATCTGGGTGGACTCAGGGATATCCTACAAACTCAAGCCTAGTATCCAAACTTCAGACTTTCAGGTTAGAATTCATAAATTTTCAAGCATTTGTAAACTTATTTATATTTACACTAAGCCAACTTGTTTGAACTATTAAACATGTCATTTGCATCAATGTAGTCAGATGAAACTGCAGTAAATAAGCTAACAGGGAAAAGGATAAAGGAAAGACTTTGGAAATATGGAGATGCTAGCCAAGAAAAAAATGGCAAGAAGCTGAGTCTTGGGGAACCACCAAGAAAGTTGTTGCCAAAGACAGGCAGAAATGAAAACAGCTTTAACAAGATGGCCCATTTTGTCATGTTGCGCTGACAGGAATGGATGATGATGACATTGAAGCAAAGATGTTTTTAAAAGGGTAAACTGAAGACTATCCTTGCAATTACAAAATTTAAAAAAAAAATATACCACTTAAAATTTATTCTCTTGCAGATAAAAAAAAAAAAATGTGTAACTTACCATATCAGTCCTAGAGGTGCTTTGATTGTTTGACTCATCTAACACACTAAAGAAATGGAGAAAAAAAAAACTGTCAAGCTTCAAATTGATTTAAATATTTCACAAAACAATTTTAAAAATTATACAAATCTTTTACAAAAAATTTTGATTGGAAATTAACTTTAAAAAGTAATCCATAACTAATTACATTTAATCAGGATTTTGTTATAAAGATACTACAAATGTCACTCATACTAAAACATGGTTTTAACTGTTAAGCAAAAGCTTTTTTAAAGTACCTTACACAAAACAGACAAAACAAAAATCAGCTGAAAAGAAAAATTTCATATTTTTTAAATTAATACAGATATTTTTACACTGAGACATTATTACACCTCACCTTAACTCAGACTTTTGTGGAGAGATGCTAAAAATGCCATGCGCGTTTGAAAAGAAAACCCCTACCCCACCATAGCTACCTGTGGAGACAATACAGAGAAGATTAGGGCGCCGTGACGTAATATAAAAAATACACAGATGTTAAATGTAACCATAAAACGAAAATTAAAAAAAAAAAGAATTACGTTAATTGTTTAAAATAAATGTGTTCTGGCATTCATACTTGTAAAAAATTGATACAGAAAGAAAATAATACAACAAGCCAATTCTTCCAAAACTTACCCTAACCCTATCCTTCGTAAACTTACCTTAACCATATTCTCCCTAAACTTACCCTAACCCTATTCTCCCTAAACTTACCCTAACCATATTTTCCCTAAACTTACCCTTACCCTATTCTCCCTAAACTTACCCTAACTCTATTCTTCATAAACTTACCAGCTCCTAACAACATATCTCCTGTGGTTTTTAAATCCATCTTGTCTAAAATATAGTTATCTGAAACAAAACAAAAATAAATATTTGACAATACAACCATACTTTTACTAAGCACTCTGAAATGAAAAGAGTATAGAGACAAAAAAAGAAAACCTTGGCGCGTAATCTTTGATAAACATTAGACAAACAAAAAAGATGAATGCTTAGTAACAATTCATTCATAAATAATATAGTATGGAAGGGGGGGGGGGGGGTCATGGTCTAGTTGTAGGGCACAGGAGCAGGACATTACCCCCCCCCCTGTCTTACACCCCACGTCCTGTTTGGGATAGGGTTAGAAATAACCTAGTGTTAGGGTCAGGGTTAGATTTAGGTTAAGAGTTGGGGTTAAGATCAATGTTGGGTTAGGAATAGGTTTCTGGATGGGGTTTGGAAACCACAATACAAAACAACAGCTTATGTTACTAATAAGTATTCCTTGTTCTTCAGCCCCCCCTCTCCGTTAATGTGCTTTCATTACAATAGCCAAAGCTGCATGTAGTAGGCAGCGCAAAAAGAAACTAGACATAAATAATGGATAGGCCTATATAGCAGAGTTGAACCATGAAGTCCTGCTCAGGGGAAAATTTGAAGTAAAACCACTCAAATGAAATTTTTGTTAGTCGGAAAATGCAGAAATCATGGTAAAGATCTACATCTACTTCCAAAATGAAATACCAGATTTTTTAGCAAGCCCAAAAACTAGCAATTTTCCAGACTATATTTAAAACTGAAATTCACTTTACAAAATTCCAGACTGTTTTGAGTAAGAACCCTTGGTTAGAGTCAGGACTGGGGTTAGGTTTAGGGAGGGGATGCTATCAAAAACAACTCCTCTAACAGCACTATAGCAATCAGAGGAAACATCCTACATAGAAGAAGTCTGAGTGTACAAACCCTGGGTTAGAGTCAGGACTGGGGTTAGGTTTAGGGTAGTGATGCTATCAAAAATAACTCCTCTAACAGCACTATAGCAATCAGAGGAAACATCCTACACAGAAGAAGTCTGAGTACAAACCCTGGGTTAGAGTCAGGAGTGGGGTTAGGTTTAGGGTAGTGATGCTATCAAAAATAACTCCTCTAACAGCACTATAGCAATCAGAGGAAACATCCTACACAGAAGAAGTCTGAGTACAAACCCTGGGTTAGAGTCAGGAGTGGGGTTAGGTTTAGGGTAGTGATGCTATCAAAAATAACTCCTCTAACAGCACTATAGCAATCAGAGGAAACATCCTACATAGAAGAAGTCTGAGTGTACAAACCTTGCAGCATGAGGATTGAGTTTTTGTTGTAGATGAACACAGTGTTGCTCTTGTCTGAGGACAGGTAAATCAACTTGTATGAAGTGATCTGGTGCTCAGATGCTTCCTGGAGAGAAAAAAAACAAAATTTAGCACTGGTTACAAACACACAAAAAAAAATGTTAGAAATTACTCCATGATGAGCTAGTGTTAACTGAAATAACATTCTTTAGCTATGGGAGTAAAACCATTAAAATGTGAAATTTAATCTTACTGAGTAAGTGAGGTCATAGTTCAGCTTGATTAGATCGCTAACATTGGCAGGTTGAGAATCTTCATATGTTTCAAAATATGCTGAAATTAAAAATTCATCTTTTTACTGCTGTTTTTAAACAAAGAGTTTATTTCACAAAGTATAAGATAAGATCACACCTAAATTGTAGTGGACCAAATACCCAAAGCATAATGGACAAAACAATAAAGTATAGTGGACTAAACACTCACATGAATAGGGGACAAAACACCCAAAGCATAGTGGACAAAACAATCAAGTATAGTGGACTAAACAATCACATGAATAGGGGAAAAAACACCCAAAGCATAGTGGACAAAAGAAATCAAGTATAGTGGACATGAATATGGAACAAAACACACAAAGCATAATGGACAAAACATTTAATTAAAGCATAGTGGACAAAACAATTACCTTTAGTATAGTGGACAAAACATGAAGCTAAGTAGACAAAACACTTACCTAAAGCAAAGTGGACATTCAGTGAAATCTCCAGATTGACACCAGCACCAAACATGACAATACCTTCTCTGTATTTAAAATACACGGTCAATTTAAATTGAAGATTACCCACACAAAAAAACAATGAATAAGAAAGGTTTCAAAGAAATTCAGTATCTTGCTAGTTTTTGAAAACATGTTTTAATGAAGTAAGGCATTGTGCATTAAGTTACTTTTCACTAACTTTATGTTCAAACCAAATTAAAGAGCTAGCCCTGGCTTGTTTGAGCTTTGTGGGTCTATTTTTGCAATATCACTATGCTATGCTATACAGTACTGTAAGACATCACCAAATTGGAATGGAATCAAGTTATTTACTGAGGAGAAACAAATGATAATAAAACAAACCAAATTAGCCACACAAAAACTACAACAGACCAACCTTGTTAACTGTAAGTCAATCAACCATGTCTTCAGCTGAGGTAGTTGTATGGAGTCTTGGTCCTAAAAAAATATTTTTCTTTATCATAAAGCATATCAAAGAAGATTCATGAAAAATATTTTTCTTTGTCGTAAAGCATATCAAAGAATATTTGTGAAAAATATTTTTCTTTCTCATAAAGCATATCAGAAAAGACTCATGAAAAATATTTTGCTTTGCCATTCAGTATATCGGAGAAGACTCGTGTAAGATATTTTTCTTTGTCATAAAGAATATCAGAGAAGATTCTAGAAAAATGTTCTTTGTCACAAAGCAGGGAAGGCTGATGAAAAATATTTTTCTGTCATAAAGAATATTAGAGTAAGCAGAAAATATGATTTATTGTAGAACAAAATGTACTGAAAAGATGTGCTGTACTTGATGTTATACATACCCAGACTTTTCTAGCCAGTGCTTCCCGAAACATCCGCTCAGCATCAATTTGATAAAGGAGCTGTATACAGAGAAAAACAAATACTGGTTACTTAAAATAAATTAAAACAAGTAGTCTAAAATATACTTTCTTTTTCAAAAACCTCATAATACATGCTTGTAGTTTAGTATGGAAAAGTCAAGCTGCAATCTTATTTGAGCTAATTATCTATCACAGAATTTATTTTCTATTTAAACACATATCAATATATTTTAAGTTAAGTCAATTGATATCATTTATATTTGGATAGTATATATATCATAGCCTAGCGGTAGAGCGCTAAACTGATAACCCAAATGTCTTGAGGTTGAATCTAGATTCAGATTTCCATGAGTCCACCCAGCTCTGATGGGCACTCAACTCACATTATGAAAAGTAAAGGCAGCTGGGCACAGTGCTGACCATGCTATCCTTTTATATGCTGAGGTCACAGAAAAAGGTTAACTCTACTTTATCTGCCTCATAGACCATCAGGTTTGGAAAGAGCATTGTACTTATTAATAGCAAAGCAAAAGCTTGAAAAGAAATAATTAACTTACTTAAAGGATGCTATTTTATAAAGTTTGCTACAAAATGTTAATTGTTTCTTTAAAAAGATGGTAAAATTTTTAATAAAAAAACAACTCTCAATAACCATTGGATGAATGAATTACCTTCTCAGGGCCAATGCTGGGTACCTGCCACTTGCAGATGTTGTTACCAGAGAGGACATAGAATGAGCGCAGGTCCTCGCCTTCGTCGTCATCATCATTATCATATTCATTGACAGGTGCAGCGAGAATGGTCTGCAGTGGCTGGTGAGAGTTAAGGGCATGTTGTTAGACAAACTGTTGCACGGCATGGTAGAGCACACGACTTGACTTAGTCCTCTTTACTCCCTGTGGAGCATAGGGCCTCTGCTATAACCTCCTACCCACGGCTGTGAAGTTGGCAGTCTCCCGAGACATCCCTGTACTTAAAGAAGACTCCGACTCAAGGTCTGCCCTATCTTTTGCCTTCCCTGGTGGTTCCACTCAAGCCCCTGGCATGTCATATTTGTGTGTAGCATTTAGGCACTTTGTCATGCCACCACAACTTCAGAAAGTGTCTGAGACATTTGTCGATGAAGGTCTGTATCTTGTCCGTTCTGGTCTTGGAGACTCTCCATGTCTTTGTTCCATATTACAAAAAATGCCTTGATGATTTTAGAATCGTAATGTTTGTTGTAAGATATGGCAGAATTTTCCGTTCAGGCAACAGAACTTTGAAAGCATAGCGGGTTCTATTAATTCTAGCACAAATGTCCTCCTCTGCACTTCCTGATTGGTTGATCTTGCTGTCAGTGTAGACCAATTCCTCCACACCATTTAAATGTCTTCCTTCTATCTTTAGTTATCTTGGTTATTGTTGATTCTCATTACTTCCAGAGAGCATGACAGAGTTTGGAAACCAGAATAGAGTCCGAAGAAAGTTCCAATTCACCCTTCTCTGATGAGTACCTTCACTCATTTGAAATGGCAGCTTGGCTTAGAACTAACCACAATATCCTTTCATATAATCTAGTCACAACTCTAGTGAACTCAACTTTTACTACCCTACTGATGACCATAAGGTCAGAAAGGGTAGATGAACCAGCCACCAATTGCACATAAGGACACTGTTCATTGCACTGAACAAGTGAAAGTTGCTTGTTGCTGCCTCTAAGCTAAACATGTAGTATAAATTTGATTTTATAAAATATTTGGTTACGGCTGATTACCTACTAAAAGTATTCTTTAAAAATGTATATCCACCTAGGTAGCAAAATAAACCTTGACATCTTAACTTTTAGCACCAGGTGTGCTTAAAATTTTGTTTCTCTGATGAAAATTATGTTCTCTTCATGCAAAACTTATTATACAGGCTAAAGAAATAGAAAATGGTAGTTGCAGTCAAGTTGGCACAAACAGTAATTGAATAAAATGTGTAGTATTAGCATCCTCAAAAATTAATGAAATTTACTGGTATGGTGGATGCTTTGATCCATGGTCTTTGTCAGCACACAATAGTGTGGTTGAAGACTAGACAAAAAAAGCAAACAGTGACATAATTTTGGACAAGTCTTGTCTAAATGCCATGATTAACAGGCTAAAGATTGGAAAGACAAAGTTTCTACTCTTACCATTCCATTCGTCTGGATCTGTGAGGCCCCAAAGATAAAAGACGACATCCTCCGACTTATTCCGGAGAACAAACCTTGAGAAGCTTTCAGAGGCTTGCAATGTATAATGGCCTGCAAGACAAATCATAAAACTACATCGACTGGCATCGCACCTTTAAAAATATTAACTGTATATTGGTTGGTAAAACCATCATAGAACTACATTGCTTATAATAAGATAATATTAGTCCACTGCAAATTGGCCTGTAAAATGTAGCATTGAACAACATTATTTAGCATTAAGCCTTCTAATAATGTAATAAGCATCATCTGTATATTGGCCCATAAAACAAATCATAGAACTACATCTGGCATCAAGCCCTGAATAAGATATTAATTAACAAACATAAAATTTTAATGTACAAAGTGGCATGTAAAGCATTTACCTGGCCAGGTGATGGGACAAGCAGTAACAAAGAGCTGGTTGTAGTGGCCAAAAGGCATCCATGTGGCTAAAACATAAGACCATTTTGGATATGGTTAAAAATAAAATAAAATTGTTTCATTAATTAAAGAGGAAATTTTAGACTAATATTTAAAAAATATATTTTTCAATGCGATATATTTTTCTAAATAACACAGTCTAAGCTTTTTTCAAAAATCAAACCAACATTTCAGATGTAATACTACTTTTCTAAATAACACAGTCTAAGCTTTTTCAAAAATCAAACAAACATTTCAGATGTAATACTACATGAATTTTCTTCTATTTACATTGAGTGAATTATAATCATGAGTTTTAGCCAAACAAAATATTGCAGGTGATAAAGAGATAATTCTACCTGGAAGTTGATAACTTTGGCACATTCCTCTCCTCTCAGTTCTGCGCTAATTTCTGCAGTTGACGACTCGAATGCTATGTTTGGCCAGTACCTGACCACACCTTCAGGGGACACAGCCACGCAGGCAGCCGGCTGACTGTCATTGTCACTAGGTATCACACACACACGCTCGGCACTGTGTGCCAGGTCACTAGGTGGCAGTGTCAGTTCTTTACAATGAACATTCTGAAAAAAATCATTTGTGATGGTCAGGTGAAAGCCTAACAGAAAAATAAAAAATTCAATAATTTCCGTAATAAAACAATGCAAGAAAATTATAATTGTTATCAAAATGACAGATTCACATGGAAAAAGATTTTTTCAAATAATTGTGATTAAATGTAAATCTTTTAAAATAATAAATAACTGAGCATTTGTTAAGTAGAAAAAATATGGAATGTAACACCCTACCCTTGAGGCGCCAGTGGACTTGTACCTCCAGACAAACAATTTTCTGCCGCCTACAAGCCAAGCCCAACCTGACGGATCTATACAAGCAGTGATTTCTGTGGTGGTGCCTATAAACAAATAATTCAAACACGATACATTGTATAATAACAATACGTTGAAAAATATTTAAAGTATAACAGTAACATAAACAAATCAAAAATCATTCCTACTAATGTAACGATTAAAGATGAAAGTTAGATTACAGAACTCCAAAATGTTTAAAAAAGTAAAACCCAATCTGTTTTTGGCTATCAGAAATTCACAAAACTGATTCTGTTGAAAATAATACTTTAAAACATTATAAGTTCAAGACTAAGGTTAATTATTTGTTTAGGGTCAAAATTGATTTTATGTCATATTATTACTAATCATAGGATAGTTATGGACGGCATGACCTAGGGGTAGAGCACTAGACTGGTAAACCGAAAGTCTTGAGTTTGAATCTGGGTTTAAGCCAGTAAAATGTCCCTGAGTCTATCCAGCTCTGATGGGTACTAAACTCACATTAGGAAAAAGTAAATGCGGCTAGGCATAGTGCTGACCATACTATCGAGGTCATTGAATCAGATGAACTCTACTTCATCTGCTCCATGTGTCTTCAGCACGAATGGGAACAGATGATGGTGATATGACTGTTACCAGTACTATTTGTATAAATCCCATCTGTAAGTCATGGGACGGAGTGGTCTAGCGGTAGAGAGCTGGACTGCTAACCCGTAAGTCTCGAGTTTGAATCTGGGTTCAAGTCAGCAGACAGTCCCTGAGTCCACCCAACTCTGATGGGTGCCTAACTCATGTTAGGGAAAGTAAATGCAGAGGACACAGAAACAAGTGAACTCTACTTCAATTGCCCCATAGACTGTCAGGTTTGAAAAGGGAACTTTACTTTTACATCTGTAAGTTAAGTAGTGAAATGTCTTAATCAGCAAAAACAGGACTTACGGTCAGACAAAGTTAAGGCTTCTGTGATTAAAACAGGAAGAGCCGATCCAAATGCCTCAATCCTATGAAGCGGAGTTTCCTCCAATATTTGTGAGGCTTGAAAAGACTGACTTGATAGCACTGACTGGTTTCTGTAAATAAAAAAAAAAATAAAGGCTTGTTGAAGAATTATTATTATTTTTGGGTTTAAACACCTAGGTTTCTTAGAGAACTAGACTTTCAAAAGATCTAGTTGTAATCATATTGTAATGAATCTTTTTATTTTATTATAGGCATAGATAAATAAATTCCAATCCTATTGTAATGTCACCTTTTTTTAACATTACTAGTTTCAGCAGATTTTACATACCTAAAACGATAGATTACACTACATTGAACATACTACATTCTCCTACGGTTCTAGAGCTAGCGGCTAGACGTATATTGTATGAATCTATTGAGCGACAATTGACTATTATTTATTATATTCTTTTCTGTACTGTACAAAGAACTTGGATGATTTTAGATACCGAAGTCTGATAATAGACTTCCGTAAAATAGGTGTGTTGTGTTGTTAGTAGTATTGTAACCTCAACTAATTTTATGGTTAGAAATTAAGGTTAGGCGTATGGTAGGACTAGGGTTGGGGTTAGTGACAGGGTTAGCATTGACATTAGCCAGCACTGTGTGTATTTAGTTAACTACCAGTAACCTAACACCCCTTTTTTAAAGAAGATTCTATTATCGGACACTGGTATAAAAATTCTCCCAAGAACTTGTTTGGCAGGGATTTTTAACAATATTACAATGTTACATATAGTACAAAGTAATACAAAGCCATCCAAAAGAGCTATTAGGGCCTACTAGGCTAGGTCTAGACTGTTGTGTTTAGAATGTTCATACTAGCTATAGATCTAGATCTACTAACTAATGAAATAATAATTTATTTTAAAAGTCGGTAAAACTCCATTTTAGCGTATTTTATTCGTTGCGTCGTACTTACACATTGCCATGAAAATCTTAACTGACACACGAACATAGCACATTCAATATTCCAAATTTGGATTTTTCTCAAGTTTTGACTAAAGTGAATTATCAAATACTAAAACAAAAATTCATAAAGAAATAAGCCCAATGTTTTCCTAACAATAACATGTTTGTGTGTTTAGTAGTGTTTAGAGTTTAGGTTGTGTATACTTATAATAAAATGGCCGATGCTAGCCGGAATAAGATATGCATGCACAATGGAGAGAAACTACGACTTGCCATCGCTGTGATGTTTTCAATGGTACTGCGCATGCATGTGTTTACAACTGCAGAACCCTCACCAACCCTAATCCTATCCCTAACTAACCCTATCCCTCATTCTAGCCCTAACCCTAGCCATAGGTCACTGCGCATGCACACAGCTATCTTTTGCCGATTAAGTGGAGACAGGGAGAAAAATCTTCCGAGTAGTCACTTCGTAAATAAAATACGCTCAACTGGAGGTGAACGTGAAGCGGGGAATAAAATACGCTAAAATGGAGCTTTACCTAAAAGTCCAAGTCTAATACTTATCTTAACATCTAGAATCTAGATCTAGAATCTAGATTCTAATCTATAATTTAATAAGAATAACATCAGTCATCCTTCCTCATTTCCTGACAGTGACTGACTTACCTCAGATTTCGCCTTGGGGTAGTGTTAGAAAGTCTTGAATTTCGTGGTTGTGCAAAAGGTGAAGGCCTGTTGGAAAGGCTTGGTGTTCTTGGAGAGAACATCTTGTTGATTCATACAATAAACTACAAGCAAGATACAAACGAATACTTGGAAATGTCTGCTTAAAGTTAACCTAAGCTGAGGTTTAATTTTAATCTCGCCGCCACATTTGTTATGGTTAATCTAGTTAACAAGAGTAGGCCTACACAAACCTTTTTTTTTTTTACGGTATGCAACAAGACGAAATAATATGGATCAACTTTTGTATCTTATTTTAACAGTTTAATATTTGTAAAAAGACTATGGATTCCACAATACAATTTATTCGGGTAAAACTGCATTTTACAATGCGCTAAAATGGAGATTTACTATTTATCCTAACACTTAGAAGTAGTAAGCGCACTTATTAATTACCTAGACTATTGATAAAACTGAAGCTCTACTTCATGAACATTTTGTAATCAGAGCATTTGATAAAGAACGATAAAATTAAACAAGTCAACACTCAAATAAAAAATAAAAGTAAACAAGTATCATGTCGTGGTCAGCGAATACCCACCCCTTTGCATAAAAAGCATAAAGTTCTACTAAAATGAGCTCCTCTTTTTCTATGACGGGTATTTATTTGGGGTAAAGAACACCAACCAGTGAGGACAATACATTATCTAGACCCAAAGTTGTTGTTCGCATTATACTAGCGTGCCCGTCCCCGCGCTTTGCGGGGGGGGGGGGGGGTTAGAAGAAAGTCCAAGGATAGCCCGGGGCAGATCGCACCCTACAGGAGCGTCGGGGGACGCGCCTGATTCAGTTAAGTGTACGACTATAATGGCCCTATTGTATTCATAGTATATAGCATTGTTTAAAACGAGCATAGGCGCCACAGCGCTCACGGGATAGCCCGGGGCGCTAAATTGCATTAAATCGCACCCAGCAGGGGTACCGGAGGATGGGCCTGATTCAATTTTTTTTAAACAAACGTAGGTGCCACAGTACTACCCCTTACTCGCTATGCAGGACACCCGGTTAACGGATACCAAGTGCTAAGATAGCCGCTATGGAGCTCTGGGCGCCATCCGTATATTGACGAAAATCGCACCCTCCCGGGCCCCGCCCATTAAAAATGTAATTCTTTTTTCCGCAGAAATCTTCTCGTGAGTATTCTCATTTACTCCCCAAAGTTTCACGGCACTCGGGTGAACGGTGTCGAAACGCATCACTTTTATTTTTTATATACCATATATAGAGAAAAATCGCACCTTCTCGGGGCGCCGCCATCGAGAAATTTAAAAATATATTTTTGCAGAAACCACCCGCGGAGTGTTCTAATCAACTCCCAAAGTTTCATGGCGATCAGAGTAACGGTGTCAAATCGCAATCGACTTTTATTTTCTATATACCGTATATCGAGAGGAATCGAATCGCGTCCTGCCGGGGCGCCACCCCTGCGAATTCGATTTTTTTTTCTCAGAAACATCCCAAGGATTATTTTCAATAACTTTCCAGTTTCATAGCGATCGGATGAAAGGTATAGACAGACAGACAGACGTGATCAAACGACCCCTAAGTAGGTAGAAAAAACTAAATAATCACTGACGATGTGTAGTATTAAATCAGTTTTTTTTAGCATTCTTATGATCGAACGCGTAGGTCAAGGCAAATCAGATATATAGGAATATATAGGCCTATATAGATTTTAAAAGCTTTAAAAAATACACTACGCCTAAAAGCTCTACTTCCATTTTAAAACTTTCTCCAAATCAGAGGCGTAACGAAAGAGGGGGGTGCTTATGTCCCCGGGCGCCGACCCTATTATAGGGGCACCAAAATGGGTTGGAAAAAAATTAAAAGCTCATTTTAGCTGCAGTTTTAATTATAAACATAAAAAATATATGGGGGTGGGTGGGCGGCAAATAGAAAGCTTGTCCCCGGGCGCCGGGAGGGGTCACTACGCCTCTGCTCCATGTTAATCTACTCTTCGAATATTCAATTAGTAGCATAGCTTATTATTTTTTGTAGTGCTTGTAATATTCAATCGTTTACTGAAAGCTGCTTCAAAATTGTTTTAATGCTTGTATTTTAAAATTAACGCAACGCTTTAATCCGTTCATGAATCTTTAAATGTTATGGGGGGGGGGGGGGGTCCTCTTCCTTGTGTAAGGCTAGGTTTTCGTTAAAGTGGCGCCAAAATCAGTATATACAAATCAAAAAGCTAATTTTAAACAAAAAAACAGAACCATACACAGTTAAAGTTAAGAAAGTAATCTGCCTCAGGGCTTTACGCACCGATTTAAGTGTTTTCTTCTTCAAATATGTGGCACCAAAGCAAAACAAAAATTACGTAATACTGACTGGTAAAAAGCGATACTAAACCTTCTAACTGGGAGGGGGGTATTTTTTATTCACCCTGGGCCGCTACGCTTTTGGTCCTGATAGGGTTATAATATAGAAGTATCTAAAACCCTGAACTTCACGAGCGACACCTTTTAGTTGTACATTAAGTAGGCCGGAGCTATTACAATTTTGCACAGACAATCAGTTTTTTTAAACTAACAGCTTGGGTGGCGTTGTTTTTGTACATTCCATGCATTCATAAAACCAGAGGCGTAGCGAGGGGGGGGGGGGTGAGGACCGCACCGGGTGACACCGCTTAGGGGGGTGACACCAAGGGAAAAAAATAGCAAAATATATAGAGAAAAACTTGAAGGGGGGTGCAAATCGAAAGTTTGAGGGGGGGGTGCAAATCGCAAATTTGTCCCCGGGAATGGTCGCTACGTCTTTGGGGGGGTGACACCATTAAGTGCCGCACCGGGTGACACCCGACCTCGCTACGCCACTGCATAAAACTGTATTTTATTTTATTAAAATTGATAGATATCAATTATTTAATTAATATTAATAGCTATCAATAATTAAATTTTGATTAATCTGTTTCTGTGACCTCCACACATGAAAAGATAGTGTGAGCAGCACTATGACCAGTCGCCTTTACCTTCACTTCTTTAAGTCAGGTACCCAAACCTATCAGAGTTGGGTGGTAATTGGTAGTTATAGGGCTTGTAAGTCTCTTTGCTTCTCTTACTTAAAATTTGAAATCTCGTTAGCCATGGTCAGGTGAATTCTCAAAGTATCATTATCAGATTTTACGATTTTAAATAACTTAACAATAGCGTAAGGAACTTTTATTTCTTTTTTTTACCGATTTAATAAACATATTAACAATTGGTTTAAAAAATACTAGCTGGCTAGTATGATAAGAAGTTGGTGACCTACTTACAAGCCCTATACGGACTTAGGTCAGGGACCCGAAATCGAACAATCGCACACTCTATCATAACTCAATGAAATCCCATTATTATGTTAAATGTCGCATATACTCCCCTATAAATCTATAGCCGGTTAATGTATGCCTTGGACTACACTGATATTGCATTAGTTCCTTGGCCTCGAAAGACCATTGTTAATCCAGGCACAACATTTTGAGAAGAACCTGACGTTGGCCATGTATCATAACAATCTATCCACATTTGTGCTTTGGAAAAAAACTTCTGTGGACAAATACGCTGTGGAGAAACCACTTGTAGTCAAAACCTCGGTGTAGACCAGAGGCGTAGCGACCCTTCCCGCGGCCGGGGACAAACTTACAATTTGGCGCCCTCCCCCCCCCCCCATATATTTTTAAAATTTAGAATGCAAAACTGCAGCTAAAATGAGCTTTTACTTTTTTTTTCCAACCCATTTAGGCGCTCCCTAGGGTCGGCGCCCGGGTACATATGTTCCCCCCTCCCCCCGCTCTCGCTACGCCTCTGGTATGGACAAACTCACTAATCACATGTGTACAAAACCATTTGTGGTCAAAGTACCCGTGTGGAAAAAAATGTGTTGTCGAAAACTGGCAGTGGACATACCACCTGTGTTCAAACCCTTCTCTGGACAAACCGCTATTTAAATAAACATTGTATGAAAGTCGATTACGACTCATTTCTTTTATTTGACATATATATCATTTTATGTATTTCATTTTCCAACAGAAAATTAAGTAGGCTACCTAACGGTACAAAATAATATATAAATCAATCAGATTTCAGGAAAGCATGTAATTTATTTTATTCCATATGTGTTTCAAATATTTATGCAAGCTAATTTTAGTTTATCGTTTTGTTTTTCTTCTTGATTCAGTTAATTAATCCCAGACTTTGTGTTAATGTTTTTGTCTTTCGTATGACTATTTTTCTATTGTTATGTCTACTGTAGCAGACCAGCAGCAACAGAACGACGAGGAGCATAATGTGGACACTTCTGAGAGCAAGGTTAACACCAATGACCAGGTACCGGAACATCTCTCTGTCGTACAACATGCAGTATCCTCCTTCTGCTGACCACCGCAGGCACGTGCTGTCTATCACTTTACCAAACAGTATTGGTGACGGTAAGAGACCTGACAGGATATATGTGTATGGGTGTAATATATATATATATATATATATATATATATATATATATATATATATATATATATATATATATATATATATATCAATACAAGGTTTAAAGTAATTTTTAAAATTATAAAATTGATAGGTTGATTAAGATATTCAGCTAGCTTGGAATCAGTTTCAGTTATCTATAGAAATGATAAATTCACGAATATATTTTCATGTACTTAAGAGAATAACTATGCACAAATGTTTACAGCATTATGATATAAAAGTCAGTGTAATATATCCACACACTCACCCAATAAAGTTGTGGCAAAGTTAGAAGACCCAGCTGCCAGAGACTGGTCCCTTTGTGCTACCGATCTAATACATACATATATATATATATATATATATATATATATATATATATATATATATATATATATATATATATATATATATATATATATATATGTGTGTGTGTGTGTGTGTGTGTGTGTATACCCAAACACATACGCATATACGTATAGGTGCAAATACACATACACATACATCATTACAGACGAGACAACCCAAAACGACAAGTGAGATCTGCTTACCTTGCTACCATCATGTAAGATGGTATAATTGCCGATGTACCCGTCAGCATACCCGCTGATAAGATGACCAGAAAGGGAACGAAGTACGGACAGTTTAAACTGCACAGGCCTGGCTTGGCTTGACCGCCACTACTCACCTCTGTACAGTTGCTAAACATCTTTTAGGAGGGGGGGGGGGGCGGGGGGCGGCGGAAGGGGAGTAAGGGAAGGGTGGGGGGTATAGATTAAATTTATTTTTTTGAAAATATGATTGTATCATGTATTCATACTTATGCTATGTACATTGTGATGTATTTGTTTATATAAATTATTATTTTAAAATTGGAGTGCGATTTTTAAAAGCTATGTCTCAGTGATATTTGTATTGTATACATTAGTTGCTTTTGACGAGGTGTCTAGAAGCAAATGACTGTATAAATTTTATAACAATTGGTAAACAGAGATTTTACGTTTTATTCTACCAGGTTTGATGACGTATTCGAACGGTAGAGCTCATGTCTGATAACCCGGAAGTCTATAGTTCGAATCCCGGGTTCGAGCTCATTGAGAGTCCTTGAGTCCACCAAACTATGATGGATTTTTAATTTAAGTTATGACAAAGACGACTGGGCATAGTGCTGACCACACTACCCCTTCATATGCCTAGGTCAAAGAAACAGGTAACTCTACTTCATCTGTCACATGGACAGGCGAGTCCGTAGGGATAGCCTTGAGGACCACAAAGTATATTAAAAGATACTCAAACACATTATGTGACAATCAGACAGCGTAGTCGTATGGTAGAGCATATGGCTGCTAATCTGAAAGTCTCGAGTTTGAATCCCGGGTTCGTTTGGTGAACACCTCTGAGTCCACTTAGCTCTGACGGGTTCCTAACACCGGCTGGTCATAGTTCTTACCAAGCTATCCCTTGATATGCCGATGTCACTAAAAACAGGTGGACTCTACTTCACCTGCCCCGGCCGTAGACCGTCTGGCTCTAAAGGGTACTTTACTACTATAACACAAGCACATTGTGATCTCTTACTCTTGTTTTATGACTTAAAATTAACTTTTAATTTTCTCAAAAAAAAAAAAAACATTCCGTCTCTCACCTTGTTGGTTGAGTTGAGACACCCAGCCAAACACGGGGACAGGTAATCCTTGTTGTTGTCACCGCAGACGATAAACACGTCATCACCACAGCCACATGCGGCGCTGCTTCTAACCACAACACCACAGAAACCGTAGAGTAAACATACGCATATGTAAGAGAGATTACCTTCGGTTTTAAACCTTATCTTTCAGAGGCGTAGCGACCCTTCCCGGCGCCCGGGAACAAACTTTTCGATTTGCACTCCCCCTCAAGATTTTCATTTGCACCACCACCCCCCCTCAAACTTTTAATTTGCACCCCCCTCAACCTTTCAATTTATTTTTCCAACCCATTTTGGCGCCCCCTAAAGTCGGCGCCCGGGGACATATGTCCCCGCCCCTCCCCCCCCCCCTCGCTACGCTACTGTTATCTTATCGTTCTTTAAAATAGTATTTTTAATGATGCGAACATGCGATTTTACTACCTCCAAACTAAATAAATTAAAAAGTCATTTAAAACGTTAGGCCTATTTACAACAATGCCAGTTAACATAAAAACTATCACCGGAACAATATTTACCCTGTGTTTCCTAGACCCACAATGTCCGAATTCTCACACCCGAACACCAGGTAAGTCGTGTCTAGTGACCAGGTCACCGCGCAGACGACCAAGGTCATGATGACACAACCACGGAAGCCAAGCTTGAGGCGTGACGTGACGAATCCCCCCAGGAAAGTTCCAGTAGCCAGGGTGAAGATGATGATTAGACCTGAGGAGAAATTGGAATACAGGGTCTCTTCCAGACATCTCTTCGGGGGTGCTTCCCCCTCCCCCCCCCCCGAATGGAATTTATATAGGAAACATATACTTATACCAGTGTCCGCCCCACCCCTTCTGAAAGAAGTCACCCCGGAGAAAAAAGTCTGAAAGAAAAATTGTGGGAGTAGGTGTTGGACATTACTCCTCTATCAAATGTCCCCTGCATTACCCGGTTATCACTCACCCTCTATCAATTATCTGCCTGCCCAAAATGTAATCTTGAACCTAATCGTAACAATAACCCTAAAGCCTAAAGTAATGGTAGTGATAGCGCTAACTTGGAATGCCATCTAGAAAAAAAATATATTCAAATTCTCTCTGTATATATATATATATATATATATATATATATATATATATATATATATATATATATATATATATATATATATATATCTAATCTAATATATACAGCTCAGTTCTGTATGTAATGCATATGTTTGTCGTTGGAATTGTATGAATTTAAGTGTTAGAAAATTATCGTGCGCATTTGTCTAAATTTATGAGCTAAAAAATTACTATTGAAAGTGTTCGGAAATTATTTTCATTTTTCAAATTATAGTAATAATTGTCGGCATGTTCATTAAACACAAGTTTTAAAAAAATATCATCTTTTACAAAAATTCTAATTATGTCTTTATTTAGTCCTATAGCACTTACTTCCCTTTGATAAATTAGGAAAACAAAATTACTTCCCATTATAATACCATTGCATTTTGTGGAAAATAATTTACTTTTTAATTACTTTGTTTTGGTGTTGGGAAAAAAAAAAATAATTACATAATTAGCGGGGATTGATCAAGTGCAAATGTTGTAGGTATTTTACGGATAAGCTTGGAGTATTAAAATTGTTCATTAAATTAAAACAGGCGCGTTCGTTTAAGTGAGTGCAAAAGACTATGAATAAGTTGGGGTACTATAGTCGTTCATTAAGCTAAAACAGGTGATTCCGCCCCGGGCGTTTATGTTCGCGTTAGTGTTTTCTTTGTGTTTAGGTGGGTTTGCGTTAGTGGTTTCGTTTTGATTTGGTTCGTTTTTGTTCTTTCTTTTTTCGTTTTTGTTTGTGTTTTTTTTTGTTTGGGTTTGTATTTGTGTTTTTGGTTGGTTTTGCGTTTGGATTTGGTTTGTTTTCGTTTGCTTTTTCGTTGTTTTTTTTTTGTTGGTATTGGTGTTTGTGGTTGGGTTTGTTGTTAGGTTTTTGTTTTCGTTTGCTTTTTTGTTTGTTTTTTCTTTGTGTTTGTATTGGTGTTTGTGGTTGTGGTTGGGTTTGTTGTTAGGTTTTTGTTTTCGTTTGTATTTGTAATTGTGTTAGCGTTATGTTTGCGTTTTGTTGTTTTGGTTGGTTGTGGTTTGGGTGGACAATGCCGGGTTTATGATGATTACTAAACACACAGGTAATGGCCTTTATCAGAAAGGTTTTTCACAGAAGCCAGAGCAGGGCCTGGCCGGGACGGCTAGTATATATATATATATATATATATATATATATATATATATATATATATATATATATATATATATATATATATATATATATATATATGTGTGTGTGTGTGTGTGTGTATATGTACAGAGAGAATTTGAACCCTGTACTACATGAACATTTCCTGCCAACGCCGCTACAGAACACGAAGCTCTAAATCTAAAACCACATAGACTAAAAAAAAAACGCCTTTATACGTAGGCCATATATATTTTTTACCTGTAGTTAGGCTGACCTGCTGGGGTGTTTTATTGAACTGCACCTCGATGTACTTCTGAGCAAAAGCGTACCACCCGGAGAAGGCCAGGCCTTCAATGACCCTGCTCAAGGCCGAAAGGACGTACAGGGGCTGGCGGAGAATGCGCCACAGTGACTTGGGCATTTCTGGAATCATGAGAAGCCGTAAAGCGAGAATTTTTTTAAATAACAAATACGGTAGAATGGGTGTGGGTGGATTTAGTGAAGGAGTGAATGGGGAAGAATGGGGGTGGATGTTGTTTATATTTTGTGTTCACAACGGTGGATTAAAGTATTACGAGCCGACCCGCGGCGTATCATACGCCGCTATTTAGTTGTTTTATTTTCTACTTTTCAGTAATTCATAATTTGTGAATTCGACAGTACCAATGTTGCCACTGAAAATATTTGCTTTGAATTTAAAACACTATCAGTAGGTCGTTAAGGACGATAACCCCCCCCCCTACACCCCACCCTCCTTTTCCCCTACCCTACACCCCCCCCCCCCCTCGTGAAAGCAGACTCCTCTTAGTTAACTCCCCTAAGTTTAAAATCGTTTCAAACTAAATTATCTGCCCCTAATAGCCGTCACTAAACCCGGCTCTACGATTGTAAACATTTAGCGTGAACCACAGCTCACCAGACCATATGGGGCTGGTAGGGATATGCCTAGACAGGAAGAGAGGGGGCTGCTATGCGTGCTTACAGCTTGGTGTTTTCTATGGTCTCCATAAAGAGAATTATATATATATATATAGATTAAACTTAAGCATTTCTATTTCAACGGCGAGTGTTAGAGCGCTTGAGTGCTTCTGTCGAAAATTTAAAGTTCTGATCTCGTTTTTTTTTTTTTTGGCTTTTCCGGGAAATCCAGGAAGGAATTCCGGGAATTTTTTTTTGGCCCACAATCATCCTCGGAACTTGCTTAACATATTTGCTTTTTGGAACTAGTCCTCGGTATTGCTTCGTTGAGGAGGAGATACGACTTAGATACGACTTAAAGCTGCGGACACACATCCAGAAATGACGAGTTAATAATCGCAATTGTCCAGTAAGGAAATTGCGCTAAAATACTTACCTAAAAATGCATTTTTTACTGCTCCAGTTTTTCCTGCTTTTCGATTTCCGTGTTTCTCCTCGTCCAACTTGGCAAACCTGATGTGTCTTGGAAAGAAAGCGATTGGCAGAGAAAACAGGCAACAAGCCACGCCTACTATGACAAAGCCAAGCCACCACGCGCCAACCCATCTTTGGTCACTTTTTGAAATTGTTGTATCTGTAATTTAAAAAAAAATATTAGTATTAATCCTACCTTACCTTTGTCCAAGAATCAGATCAGTGCCGGCGCCAGGTCATTTAGCGCCCTAGGCAAAACTTATTAAAACGCCCCCTTTTACACAAATTGATTACTAAAACATATGTATAAGAAAACAATTAATTAAAAGTAACATATCAAATTTTACTTGCCTCCTTCGTCTTAAAAGTTTGTACTAATTCCTTCAATTCCAGTATACAGGCGTAATTACATTTTATTGAAATTGTTGCTTAGTCCACGAATCTACTTTGTACTTTACATAGCCCCCCCCCACCCCACCCACTAAGAAAATTTTAAGTGCCCCCCCCCCCCCCACTCCCGGGAAAAAAGTCTGAAAAAAACCCACTGAAAAAAAAATCTTGTAGTGTTGGGCTCTCTGCAGTCCTCCCAAGGTGAGTTCTAAAACGGAACGAACCTGTTTTAAGCTTGACTGTCTTTAGTTATAATTGTAAAATGTCTATATTGTGTGATTATGTAATGATTTTTTTATTATTTTATTTTGAAAAATAAAAGGTTATAAATTTTATAGATTCCAGCCTAAAATTGTTATATATGAATCCTTTAGGAGAGGGTGATAAATATGAAAAGACAATTAATTAGAAGTTTAATTTAAGACTAAGGCTGTATGTCTATTAACATTAAGTGCTGCAATCTACCAAACTATTTTGTTTAGAACTTAAATTAAGCGCTATATAATTTTTACAATAGTAAATAATAACTTAAAGTTGTATTTATAAGTAAGCGGTCACCCTAAGGTGTAGGAATTTGAAAGGAATGTAAAGTTAAGCAACAAATTATCTCCCATTTGAAAATGCAAACGACAAAATTTTATTCAAGGGAAATAACTTTCACATGAATAGCTAAATTAACCAAGTGTAACTAAGACATGTTTGAAAAACACAATTAAACCTTCTAAATTTCATTACGTATTAATTATAACAAATATTTTTATATTAGTTATGTAACTTTGTGAAAACAATATATTTTATCGATTGAATACTCAACTGTGGGTTTTGTTTAAAAGTCTTAAAACGGTAGCTGTATTGTAACATACTTCTTTTCAATTTCGATGACTTCCATTAATTGACATCTTTACGGTTAGCAAATAAATGAAATTGAAATTTTGGATCCCCGAAATAAAGGGACATCTAATAGAAAATCAAACACGGTTAACAGTGTTAGACATTGCTGGAATTATTGATTAAATGTAAAAAAAAAATAATTTGAAAAAACAAAGTTTACGGTTAGTTATAAATTTCATCCTATTTAATATTATGTATTATTATTAATACTTTAAGAGTGGTAATATAGATTCGAAAAAAAAACTAAAGATTTTTCAACTAGAGAACGTCTACCTTTCTTTGTAGTGTGTTCCGTACTAAATTAAAATAATCTAGCTTACGATGAATTCGATTACTCGATATACTCTACTACATTCACAACATCAAACTTCGATACCTAAACATAACTAGACTCGATGCTCCAGAACTACGACACCAACTCGCTTAACTTCACCAAGCTCTATAAACCGTACTTCCAATCAACAACGATTTCACTGGACCTACTACTACACGTTAACAGTCAACACCATTCGATACCTTAATACCACAAGAACCAATACTCCAGAACTACGATACTTCCTCATCTGTATTCTCATTTCTCTATTACTTACCAATCAAATTCCATTAAACCTTCAACTACAAAACAGCCGAATAAAAATTATGACACTTTAACACTTCGATACTTTATACCTAAACCGCCGTTACTCCCAAATCTAAACGATTCATCAAAACTTACCAAACAAGTACAATACTTTGAACACCCCGTCATTACATAAATGTACACCAGAACAGATTTCTAATTCAAAGTCAGAGAAAACGAGACTTACAAGCATTATTAAAATTAGATAACCTTTTGAAATGTTCGAAATTTAAATTAAGAACTCATTTAATTGTTTTCTACATCAATTAGAAAGACAAAGTGACTGGTAAAAAGCGCCGCGACCTCTCCAAATTAGGGAGGTGGGATTACATTTTCACCATCAGGAATAAATATAGGCCTATATAGACCTAATTTTGGGGTGGGGTGCAAAATTGATAGTTCGTCCTGTGTGCCGAAATAGATCGCTACTCCTTTATAAAAGTTTTTCAATATTGGGTACTTTTTGATAATAGCAATTAAACAGTTTGCGCCCCCCCCCCTAGGGATGGCGCCCTAGGCGACCGCCTAGTTCGCCTTATAGGTAGCGCCGGCCCTGCCAAGAATAGACTTCCGAAAAAATAGGAATCGTTTGTTAATAGGAGTTCATCCGTTTTAATTTTCAGCTAAGGTCAAGGTTAGGGCTATGTATATAATATATAAATAAATACACACACACACACACATATATATATATATATATATATATATATATATATATATATATATATATATATATATATATATATATATATATATATATATATATAATATAATCTATAATATAAGCGGGCTGAGCGTGTCCTTCCTTCCGTCCGTCATCGCTATAGATTTTGGGACTATAAAAGTAAACTGCGCACCACGCTGTGCTTTTCAGTGCACCGCAGTGTCTTATTATATGTATTAGAGTAGGGTTTGTTTATATAGCGGCAAAGAGCTATTTTATAATTTCCACTGTTTGTACAATTTTGCATAACGTAAAGAGAATATTAAATACACGCACACTGCTAAAACATATTAAAAGGATCAATGTCAAATATCGTTTTCGTTAATATTCCCAGAAAAAGTGGATACATTTTAATAACAGTAGGGTAGAAAAATCTAATTAAACTGCTTAGTAATTTTGCCAATGGAGGTAATTCAAAGATAAATTGAACTCACGCTAAAAATGTGAATGCAAAATCTGCAAGACGGAATAATTGTTCGAATAATATAATTAGCAAAATGTGAATGCAAATTATGCAGACGTGTAAGAGTACATTATTGTTGGAATATTATTATTAGCATTGATTGATAAAAGGCTATCTTTTATTTATTTTATTCACTGAATGTACTGTATACTAATTATAATTTTTAATCAACTATTCCGCACCATTATAGACATTGGGTGCGCAATGGTTTTAGTTATGAAACTCAATTGTAAATTTTTAAATTAAAATAATGGGGAAAAAATGCGTGAATTGATAAAGTGATATATGGTAGGTAAACACGGATATTTTAAATATTGCCTATTTTTTATTGTATATTATTTATTATTATTCTATCTTTCGGTTTGCGGACAAGCTGGGGTTTTATAAGAGAGGCGTAGCTAGGGGGGGGGGGGGTTGGAAATCGAAAGCTTTAGGGAGGGGGAGGGGGGTAGGGTGCAAATCGAAAGTTTGAGGGGGTTGCAAATCAAAAGTTTGAGCGGGGGGAATTTCAAATCAAAAGTGGTGCAAATCGAAAGTCTGAGGGGAATGCAAATCAAAAGTTTAAGGGGATGGGTGGAAATTGAAATTTTGAGGGGAGGGGGTGCAAATCGTAAGTTTGAGGGAGGGTCAAATCGAAAGTTTGTCACCGGGCGCCGGAAAGGGTCGCAACGCCTCTGTTTTTTAGTCATTCACTGTGTCAGACGCGCCCGCCGGGACTCGGAAAGGGCGCGATTTGGCGCTACGGGCTAGACTGTGAGCAATATGCCTTTATGCTTGCATTTAAATTGTGTTTATGTTATGAGTGTTGTGTTCGTTTTTCGTTGTTTTTTTTGCGTTCGTTCGTTTGTGTTGTGTTTAGTTTTGTTTTGTTCCAAAGTTGGTATATTTAAAAATGATTTACCGTGGCGGAGCACGGGATACAGCTAGTCTATAATATAAGCGGGCTGAGCGTGTGTCAGTCCTTCCTTCCTTCTGTCATCGCTATAGCTTTTGGAACCATAAAAGTAAACATTCGCACCATGCAGTGCTTTTCAGTGCACCGCAGTGTCTTATTATAAGTAATAGAGTAGGGTTTGTTTATATAGCGGCATAGAGCTATTTTATAATTGCCACGGTTTTTACTCTTTCGCATAACGTCAAGAAAATATTAAATACACGCAAACTGCTAAAACGTATTAAAAAGATTAATGTCAAATATCATTTTCGTTTAGGTTCCCAGAAAAAGTGGATACATTTCCATAAAAGTAGGTCGAAAAAACTAATTAATTCAACTTTTTTTTGTGGTAATTTTTTCAAGGGAGGTAATTTGAAAATATATTTAACTCAACAATAATTTAAGTTAATCTTTTTTTTTATTACTACCGCATTGATTAGTCTATATTAAGGTTCATAATTAAAAGAGAAAAATGTTAAGATTATTTATACTATTTTCTAATTAGTCTATCATTTCTCAAAATCACTATTTTTTGTTTTTGTTTTTTGGTGTTAACAGATGGTGAAATTTTATAATTATAGTATAGAGAATGCTGGAAAGACTCTCTCTAGGCGCGGACGCCTGGGAAAAGCGTGTTTTTCGGTGGTAATTCTAATTACATTGCCAATGTGTTTTCTTAGAACCATAAAAGTAAACACCACTTGCCGTACATTCATTTGCATCGCATTGTTTTATTGTAAGTTATGGAGTAGGATCTATTTATGTGACTTAAATTTTTAATGTTGGAAAGGCTGTCTTTGGGCGCGGACGCCTAAAAAAGCGTGTTGTTTGGTGGTGATTCTAATGTTGTGGTTGTGTTGTTGTTTTTTTTTGGTTGTGTTGTGGTTGTGTTGTGGTTGTTTTTTGGTTGTGTTGTGGTTGTTTTTTGGTTGTGTTGTGGTTGATTTTTGGTTGTGTTGTGGTTGTTTTGTGGTTGCGTTGTGGCTGTGTTGTGGTTGTGTTTTTGTTGTGGTTGTGTTGTAGTTGTGGTTGTGTTGTGGTTGTGTTGTGGTTGTGTTGTGGCTGTGTTGTGGTTGTGTTGAAGTTGTGGTTGTGTTGTGGTTGTGTTGTAGTTTTGTTGTGGTTGTGTTGTGGTTGTATTGTGGTTGTGTTGTAGTTTTGTTGTGGTTGTGTTGTGGTTTTGTTGTGGTTGTGTTGTGGTTGTGTTGTGTTGTGGTTGTGTTGTGGTTGTGTTGTGGTTGTGTTGTGTTTGTGGTTGTGTTTTTTGTGTTTGTGTTGTTTTTGTTTGTTTTGTTCTTTTCCAAAGTTGGTACATTTAAAAAAGATTTACCGTGGCGGAGCACGGGATGCAGCTAGTATATATATACTCGTCCACCTATGTGTCTCTACCAGACTTTTTTCCAGGGGGGGGGGGGGGGGCACTTGATAATTATATTTTCGGGGGACCGGACAAGATATTCCGGGAAGGGGGGGGGGGGGGACCGGGCGGACACTGGTAAAAGTATATATTTTCTTTATAAATTCCATTTCGTTCGGGGGGGGGGGGGCGCTAAACTTTCTTCGGGTGGCTCCGCCTGGAAGAAACTCTGTATATATATATATATATATATATATATATATATATATATATATATATATATATATATATATTTATTTATTTATTTATTTATTTATTTATATCAATATTTACATTTTAGGTCAACCGGAAGCGAACTGACATAACTTCCCAGTAAAAAAGCTATTGGCGGCCCAAAAAACATGGCGGTGAAAGAACTTCCTGAAACAAAAACAAAATATAATTGCTTTTATAACGGCTGTAACAGTGCAAGTCACGCGAATAAAAGCATAATTTGCCAATTAGTTACATTTCATACCCCCGTCAATATGAACTATTTTGACATTACCTAAGTATAATCCGGATTTGTTCTTGTCTTTTATGTTTGTCTCCACGTAATGAGTCAGTAGAGGAATCCTGTAGGATTTCACTATCCCACAGCAGACGGATGCCAGGACAAACACCCAGAATGCCCACGGAAGTCCTGCTGGGATGTGTGTAACGTCTAAAGGACTAGACACTGCACCGGAAGAGTGAATTCCGTGCTCAGAAATGTCCAGATCTGTTAAATTTGTGCCGGAAATGACGCTGTCTTCTGGCAGACAGAGGTATTTCGAAAATGTGTTTTCAGTGTCGTTGTGCTGGATGTTCATAAGTGAGGATGCTGAAATCGGGATAGGTTGTATTAAAAGACGATACAGTAATAATTCGATACATACAAAAGTCGCTACAGTGTCTAGCTTTTTACTGCTTAGCTCTGAAGTAGGTAAAAAAATGTAATAAATTCTGGGGCAATATGTCATATAAAATATACCTGTTATAGTTTATAATTCAACAAAACAATTGATTTTTTATTCTGACGAAGACATAATAATATGGTCGAGACGTTGTTTCCTAATTTAAAATAAAGAGTAAAGGGTAAGAATCCTCTTCAGACCTAGCGATGCATTGTGCAGATGAAGTAGAGTTCATATGTTTCTTGACAGCCTATTGCCTATTTTAGAGACATAAGTATTATGAAGTCGTATCAATACGTAGTCGGACGGTAGAGCACACTACTGATAACCCAAATTTTCGAGATCAGCTTTAGGGCTCTAGTCCGTATAGCGGCCATGTGCCCACACAGCTCTGACTCAGGTTTGGGGAAAATAAAGTCGGCTAGATAGAGCGCTGACCGCACTATCCCTCCATTATCCGAGATCACAGAAAAAATGAACTCAACTTTTTTTTACCCAGTTGACATCCAGGCTCGAAAGTGTAACTTTAAACTTTATATATATATATATATATATATATATATATATATATATATATATATATATATATATATATATATATATATATATATATATATATATATATATATATATATATATATATATATATATACATATATATACAAACTTTATTCTTGCCTTGCCAGACCTTGGGCTGCATCAGCTTCCCCAGTGACATCACCATGGCCATGACCCCAAAGATGACCCCTGACACAGACAGCAGTCTCGGGATGTGCAGGTATTTGCCAAAATGGCTGCCGAACAGGACGGCTACCAGGTAGCCTATCTCGTTGCTGCTCATGATAAGACCTGGGGGATAGAAAACATTGGGCAGCTGACCATTGAGACCGCACCTTTTGACACCCTTACTTCACTGATCTAGTAGACAAACTAACACCCTGACCTCAAGTAAACTCAGTTACTTTGGGAAGTTGTTGAAAAATATTCCTGGGGAGGTTTCTCACTTTCTGTGTGTGGGGGGGGGGGATTAAATTTCTCCTGAGAGCATTTTGGCGATTACGTTTGTTTTAATGGTGCAATACATTATGGATATAATGGACTTCTATGATCATTCACTAATATTCTTGAAAATATAAACGGATTTCTGAGATTTTTACGTCTAAAATTGTATTAATTTTTTAAAATACATTTTAATTTAAAAAGTCTATTATCTTTTTTTTTTGGGGGGGGGGGGGGGGATCAAACATTTAGACAAGTTGGTTTCTGAAACTTGTCACATTTTGCAGTCATCCATTCGGGCTACTGTTCTTTTCGGGCAAAAAATGACAATTCGGGAAAACGACCCCCGGGCTAATGGTGTTCAAGCAAGGGTCTCTCGTGTAAACGTCTGGCATCCAAGTTGAACATGCAGAGTCACGGTGAATTACCGACCGCCTTAAACAGTAATGTACTTGAATTATTTTCCACGACTTTTACACCAAGTTTAGTATTTAATTTTTAAATGAAAGAAGTGTCTGTGAATTTTAATAAATGAAGATTAAGAGTTTTTATGCAATTACTAAATACTTTTACAATGGCCTATTGCATGTTTTTGTTCATATCCGTTATTTTTTTCGAAAAGGGAAAAAAAAACAAAAAAAAATAATTAATTCTTAAATCGGTCTGTCTTCATATAAATATGTACCTGTTTTGCTGCTGGATATGCCCAGATGACGTTCTATAGAAGAGATTTGAGATCCCAGCAAAATGCCCATCGCTGTCATCCAAATACCGGAAACTCCGTAAAAAACAACAAACGCCGGTAAACTGGAAAACTCTTGAAGAATACAAAAACATGGAGAATATGTTTTTTGCATTGTTTCGATGCAAGGTTAAAGTATTCACAAGTTCTATGCTTCGAGCGTTAAAATATGGAAAGCATCTATATAGGAAAACAAAAGTATTGAGCATCAACCCTTCTAGACCCACCAGAAGTGCGCATAATAATAACAATACGATACTATCTTCAGAGGGGAAATCTTCAGATGGATGGTCTAAATCCAATGATTGGTCTAAACTCAGAGCGGGAGGATGTATACCCATAAATAACCTAACTAGTGATATGCAAATTGCAACAATCATTGGTGTGATTATTGCAAAAGATGGTCCAAAGTCCATAATCAGCAAAAAAGGTGGCCACGAAAGGTTCCTTCTGGCATTAACTGTTAGAGATTCAGAATCGGGATTTATTAATGTAACTTGTTGGGAAAGTGAAGAATATATACAAGGTTTGACAGCTAGTGTGACATATGGTAGTGTAGTTGAAATAAAACAAGCCCAGATACAGACTAAGCCAAAAAATGAATCAGATGATAAGTTTAAACCATGGACTCCAAGTCCATATCAAATGAATTTGAGTGATAATCAAGGATCAATTACTTTGTACAATGGACTGGATGCCTCAAGTTTTACTAAACTAATGCACTTCCCAACTAAAGCTTACAATGACTTCTATACATTAGAGGACATTCAAGCAAATGTCATGCGTTTACAAGGGGAACATGTTAATCTTCTTGCTGCTGTTAAGAAGGTATGGCCAGTGAGAGAGCTTGTGACAAAAACGGGGAGAAAAACTTTAAAAGCAGACATAGTTTTGTGTGATGAGACTTGTTCAGCTTTTAATTTAACGCTTTGGGGCTGTTGTGTTTCTCTCATTGACAACTGGATACCAATGGAAACTGTTATCTTTGCTGCAGATGTCAGAATTAGTTTCAATGAATATCGATCAACTATGGTTGCAAATACAGATTCAAAGACAGTTCTAACCACTTCTCCTGCTACCCCAGAAGCTACAAGTTTACAGGAGTTTATTCGAACTCAAGATTTACTAGAACACAATGATAATGATGGCATCAGTACCTATAACCAAGATAGCAAAGACCCAGAAATTGAAACAATCACAAATGTTTTGACTGTGAGGCAGATCAAATATTTACAGACAAGTGTTGCTGAGGGCACTAACCAGACAGAATATGCAGTTGTGTACACATTTCGGTCAAATTTTGATATTGACAGGGATGATGCTACTGTATTTCAACAAATATGCTCTAAATGCAGAAAGCCAATTATTGACGACGGTGGAATATGTGGGAATCAAGATTGTGTAGGTGCTGATTTAACTTATGATGACAGCAATAATTTTGATTTTAGATTGTCCATTAGTTTAACTGACCACACTGGTAGCCTCGAGTTTTGTAATGTCCCATCACATCTAGTTGAAGAAGTTATTGGATGTAAGGCAAAAGAATTTAAAACTCTATCCAGCTTGGAAAAAACCGATATTAAATGGAGATATCTGTTTGAACGAGTCAAAGCTGTTTTGAAGATAAGAAAAAGAAAAGATGACAGGTGTTACACTCAAGTTATAGTGCTTCACAGAACCACTCCTGATCAAGTATTAGAAGGTTTTGCAGAAGTCTAATCCTAAATATTTAAGTTAAAACAACCTTTTATTTAATAAATTCTTTTAATTCTGACAACTGAGTTACAGTTAGGTAAATAATTGTTTGAAATATGTATAGAAATAAAATATTTTGAAAATAAAAAAAAAATATGGAAAGCATCTAAATAGGAAAACAAAAGTATTGATAAGATGTTACATATTTAAATTATTTTTTTAGTAAATGTTACTTTGAAATTTCTGCATTACCGCTTCGAAACAACGCACAGAATCTGTATCACCATATGCTCGTAAAATAAACCAGATGAATAAAAAAAATTGCAACAACTCTACATAAACACATACGAACACAAGAACCTACTTATTACAACGAAGTAATTGTTTAGTGGTTAGCACTCACTTTTGCAGCATTTAGGCTTGCAAGCCCCAATACCACATGTGTCTTCGAAATACTCCACATGGCAATCTATTTCATCTAACTCGTTTGTTGGGTTCTTCTCCTGGCTGAAGTTATAAAACAGCTGTTTAGGTTGAGGTATTGTGTTTTTAGAGAATGGATTATATAACAATAGTGTAACAATAAACATAAACATCAGTTACAAATACTCTTAACATAAATTTACTTTTTTTTAAATAACAGGTCAAATAATAAAGTAAGTTATACATTTGGATATTGTCGTAGTTAAGATTTAAATATCGCTTTCCTAGAACCAGATTGTTTTGAAAAATGTCCACTTGGTGAAAGTAAATTGTAATAATAGTGTGAGATTTTGCCACATTTTTTTAATGCAATGAAGCCATGGTGGATTTAGCACACAACGATGCACTGCGACCAATTAAGTCAAATTGAATGTCAAGATGCATTGTCTTCATATCTTGACCCACGTGCCAACTACGAACCGTATCTGTCAGTTAGAAGTGCCTGCAATTTCACACGGGCGTTTCGATCTAGACAGACAGACAGACTGACGACAGAGGAAGTGAGTTAAATAAAAGCTTGTAAAAAACGAGGCTCGTTAGCATAGGGACAGCAACTCGTCTGGGAGAGAGAACTGATAAATCAAACAAGAGTGGAGCCCCTTTGATGACAGGGTCACCAACTCTTGTTTCCTTTCGGCAGCTTCTGCGACACATAATACCAAGTTGTATAGTTGATGCCTATCCCTTGGATCCATAAGCTGTGTGAAGCCTGAGGGTTGATACACAGGCAACTTAAGGCAACATCTGGCTCTTTTTAACTTGCTGCCTAGGTCTTGTACCAAGGCGCCATTAATGAATTGTCTATCAAACTTTCTTCTTGTCTGAAATACAATCATTTATAAACTCATGCCCCAGAAAGAGCTTGCGAATTCGTTGGCCTAAAACCATCAGAAATGATGTTCTAAGGCAACAGACAAATCAACTGCCAGCTGAAGTAGAGATCCTCCAGAGAAAATGGAAATGGATTGGCCACACACTCAAGAAGCCTGTATCCAGCATAACAAGACGGGCCCTCACCTGGAATCCACAGGGCAGAAGGGGGAGAGGCAGACCAAGAAAGACCTGGAGGCGTGACCAAGAAGATTGGATACACGTGGGGACAGTTGGAGAGACTAGCCCAGGAAAGAGACGCCTGGAAAGCTCTTGGAAACCCAACCTAACATATCAGACTTTGTGGCGATTTATTTATTTATTTATAGGGATATGTTTTATTTAAAGCATATACAAGCATATGGATATTATTATGGACATGGTGGGTTTAAAAAATAAACACAACATGAGTTTGAGGTCAGAGGTCAAGTATATGTTGACCAATCGCTGAAGGTAAAAACATTTATGTCATCCTGTCTATGAAACGATAAATGCACTGTTATCGGTTGTGTTATCTACTGATTCTAGCAGGTAGTGTAATATCCAAGGGACCAACACACTTAGATCTATATATGCCGAATACATGAAACTTTTCCATGCACGCTTAAAGATAGTGCTAAAATCAAGTACTGATTATTGTTTGAAAGTATCATTAGGGAATATAGTGTGTAGTTTGTAATGCTTAGCCATCATCCAACAAATACATTGAAAAGCCATTTAACATTTTGAATATACGCTTTTGAAGTTTACAAAAAGCCATCGTGCGCATGCGCAAATGATGTCTTATTCACATTTAAACTTACGTTGATACTGGACCATATAATTTCCCGTCAGGCCCACGAATAGTCTCGAGACGAACGTTATTCTCGCGTGTGTCGTCTGCTGGGTCTGTGTCGTCGTGTAGAAACTGAAGTCTGCTTAGAGCGTTTAACGTTTCCTGTGAGCCAAAGGCTTGGGCTGCCTCTTGGAACTGAAGCAGATGTAATGGGGGAGATTGTGGACGTATTAATGGACGACGGTTATTTCATTAAAGAAAATCGCCGTAGATCCTCATTAAGCTTGTATATTATTTACAACGTAACGTAAGAAACAGTTTTAAAAAGCCTGAGACAAATAAATTAAAGTGGTTAGTTTTGTCCATGTTTCATGTTTTTATTAAATTTGGTAAAAAAATAACAATTGTGTATTCTATAATGCTCGATGAAAAAAATACAATAAAATAACATTGGTCCAAAAATTGTCTTTTTTTTACCAATTAAAGATCTGTTTCTTATACTAAATTAAGATACAGTAACCAAATTTATTTTCATATATATGGACTTGACCTATTAAAAAAAAAACTCTTTTCGATTGGCGTCAATAATAAACGTAAAATATAAATTGTTCTTGCCTAATTTCTTGCCTAATTTATTCCAAAATTTGTCAGTACATTTATATTTATGCAGTAGAACGTGTAAGTAAATAATCAACCCACCGACATACTGAAAAACACAACGATATAGGGGGGCCTATATAATGTTTTTAACTAATTATAGAATGCAATCCACTTTTAGCAATGATTTCAATACACTTTTATAAACACTATGTAGGACCTACACAGACGTTAGGTTATAACGGTTTTTTTAATATTGTCAGTCGGTAGATTTTGTAGGCCAAAGATCATACGGCTTTATCTTTGATAGTGGTTTTATCATTGGAACATATGTGGTCAAGTTTTAGCTCACTTAGCTGTATGTTGTGGCCAAGATTTAGCACACTTAGCTGTATGTTGTGGCCAAGATTTAGCACACTTAGCTGTATGTTTTGGTCAAGATTTAGCACACTTAGCTGTATGTTTTGGCCAAGATTTAGCACACTTAGCTGTATGTTTTGGTCAAGATTTAGCACACTTAGCTGTATGTTTTGGTCAAGATTTAGCACACTTAGCTCTATGTTGTGGTCAAGATTTAGCACACTTTGCTGTATGTTTTGGTCAAGATTTAGCACACTTAGCTGTATGTTGTGGCCAAAATTTAGCACCCTTAGCAGTATGTTTTGGTCAAGATTTAGCACACTTAGCTGTATGAGGTGGTCAAGATTTAGCACACTTAGCTGTTTGATGTGGCCAAGATTTAGCACATTTAGCTGTATGTTGTGGTCAAGATTTAACACTCTATGCTGGCTGCTCCATTCAAAGTATCTCACTCTGAGCTGAATGGTTTGCGCATATAGTGTGGAAAATGTAATATGTTTTTGCAATATATCTGATATAACGAGATATAGACCATGCCCATAGCAATATAGACATAAAGTTAAAGTTACTTCTTATGACTGTTCAACTTGCTTATATCTATATATATAATTCTCTTCTGTGAGACGCTAGAAAACAAGCTGTAAGCGCGCCTAGCAGTCCCCTCTCTTCCTCTCTAGGCATATCTCTATTACCCCCCCCCCCCATACCCACATGGTCTGGTGAGCTGTGGGGGGGGGGGGTTGGGTGGAAAGGAGGGTTTTAGTGTTTTAAAGCAAATATATTTTCAGTGGCAGCATTAGTACTGTCGAATTCACAAATTATGAATTATTGAAAAGTAGAAAAAACAACAACTAAATAGCGGCGTATGATACGCCGCGGGTCGGCTCGTTGTATGTAAAATAACATGTTTACATTCTGCAAAAATGTTGGATTATGTGTATTGTAAAAAAAAAAAGTGAGCTTGGCAGTGCGAGACATCACAGCCAGTATGCCGTGACCAGGATTCGAACCTGGGTTGTCGCGGCCACAACGCGAAGTACTAACCACTATACGATCACGGCCAGCGCGCTCACATTCATTTCGGCAAATTAAACTTGCTTATTCTCACCATGCCATACGTTCGTTTTGTAATAGACTTATAGAGACAAACCAAGTTTTCCTATGTATGCCCGATTATAATTATTTTTTTATATTCACCTTATCTAACGACAAGCCTCGTATTTTATATTAGAATCTATATGCTAGTCTAGGAATCGTAGGAATCGTCATAAAACTGATAGATAGCCATACCAGTAAAACTAGGTCATTCTTAGTCAACGAAATACAATACAATCATCGTCTGCCAGAACATTAGATTCCTTCCTTTTTCTAGGTCACGTGACTAAGTGACGTATGAGTTTGTCTTAGCCATATTTTCTAGAAAAAATCCAGATAACTAAAATCTATGGTGCTGACGTTAAAATGATAAACGATATTGATTGATTTTGAAAATAACTAAATAAATAAATAAATTGAAAATAACTAAATAAATAAAGTTTTGAAATAACTTATAATTAATTTCAGCAACGAAATACAATTTACAAAACACGAGGCGATGACCGTAAATATGCGTAAAGGAAAACTGCGCAACGGAAAACTGCGCAAAAAAAAAAAAGAGCGCACGGACATTTTTGTTTTCTTAGATCGAATATTTATAGACATTAACAAAGAGTAAATAAATGTACATTGTAGCATAATAAAACATATTTCCGCGAAATATGACAAAATTAAAGTATAATCAGTTGGTATTTGTGCATTTTTTTTTGGCACAGTTTTCCGATTGCGCATTTTTCTGGGAACACACCAAGACATCCTACTGTAAGTGTGGGTCGCCATGGCCTCGTTGTGATTTACGTTGCGCCATCTTTTTCAAACTGCTGCGTACTACTCTGACGTTGTCAGGGATGGTAACGCAATGAACGGCTATAGACAATATTAAAAGTTTTGACACCGAAATGAAATGTGGCTAATTTTAATGAGAAAGTCTCTGATTTTTTTTTCTGTTAGTATGATAGCTTAGGTTGTTTATATAATTAGCAGTGTTTTTTTAGGCAACTGTTGGGGGGGGGGGGGGGCTGGTGTTACTATGCGTATCACCCACCCATGTAACAATTTTGTATTTTCCGATATGCGTCACCCTCAACCACCCATTACTATTTTATTATTTTAACTAGAAACCATTGCTTTGAGGTTACATTTTATTTGGAATTGATGTTTCCCCCTAAATGGTGTTACCCATTGCGGACCACACCCGTCTCGCCTTATAACACTAATGGGACAAATGACTCCGTAGATCTTTGACAAGTAAAGCACCTTTAAGATCTTATTATTTGTAAGGCAGATGAATTGGGGACGATGCGGCCTATAGGTAAAGTGCTAACCTGCTAACTCAAAAGTTTGGAGTTTAAATCCGGGTTCAAGTCTATAAAACATCATTGAGTCCACAAAACAGGTGAACTCTACTTCACTTGCCCCATAGATCGTCAGGATTAAAACTTTACTTACTTACTTAATGCAGATACATTAACATCTTTTTCTCTCGCTTTCCATTTTAGTGTACGGATCAGTAATTTAAGTTTTAAAATTTGGGGAGCAAGTTAACCGCTTAAAGCTCAGTTTAAAACTTTCAAAGACTCAATCAAACGGCGCAATTTTAACGCAATAATTGTTTTTATTAAACCATTTAAACATCAACTTATAAAGCAGAACAGCATAAATTAATATAACAATAAAATATTTGAATCGTTGTACTTTAAAAATCTGTTGAGAAATATTTTCCCAGGGCACCGTAAAAAACTTGAATACCATTAATTGTATTGTTCAATTTTTTTTGTTTGTTTCATTTCTTTCCGCGTGTTTTGACAATATTCGTTGTTTTTGTCTCTGTTGACGTCACATTTCCCGCCGTTCCCCTGCCGTAGCGGACCAGCAACAGAACCACAGACAGGACCAGGATGTGAACACTTCTCAGACCGAGGCTAAGGCCGTTGATCAGGTACCGGAACATCTCTCTGTCGTACAACATGCAGTACCCGCCTTCTGCTGACCACCTCAGGCAAGTGCTGTCTATCACTTTACCAAACAGTATAGGTGACGGTAAGACCCCTGGTATGGAAAATTGATATACATAATATGTAGGTATAGTTTTGTTTCTTAATACATATTTAAACATGTATATATATATTTAATTATTTATATACATATATTGGTATAACTTTGTTTATAAATGTATATACATGATATAAATTATATGTATATAGATGTATGTGTGTATATATAGGCTTATATATTATACAAACGCACACACACATGTATATATATATATATATATATATATATATGCATACCTGTATTCCTATATCTATATATATAGTCTACATATATATTGAGACAAACACACACACATACATACATTAGGGAGCGTATGTGTACTTATATATATATATATATATATATATATATATATATATATATATATATATATATATATATATATATATATATATATATATATATATATATATATATATACATATATAAATATATATATATATATATATATATATATATATATATATATATATATATATATATATATATATATATATATATATATATATATATATATATATAGGCATATATATAGGCATATATATAGGCATATTTTATATAGGCATATATATATATATATATATATATATATATATATATATATATATATATATATATATATAAGTACACATACGCCCGCACAATAACAGCCTGCGATAAACGAACATGAACTGACCCATTAAAGTTGTAGAGAAATACGACACCCCAACTGCCAGTGCCTGGTCTTGTTGAGCGACAGATCTGATCAAATATTGAAGATATTTCATGTATAAACATGTTGTCTTTAAACGTTGTACCTTTATTTCATGAAGTATAGTGTATTAATGCACTGAATTTTACTTTTTATATGAACTCAAAATCTCATAATTCTAATTTTATTTAATTTTTTTAAATAATTAAACTGCACTTTATTTTTGTAATTAAATAAACTTAATCACATATATTTTATCATATAAAAACCACAATTTAAATAAAATAAAAATTAATTCTCGAAATCGTAAAATGAATTTTTCGTTTTGCTATTTATTTTAAACACTTTCTGATATATTTTAAATTAAAAACTCCAGCGTTTATGAAATTTAATGTGAAAGCCTTAGATATTCTTCAAACCATGTTCATATTTTAAGGAAACAATGAATTTTTGTAATCTCCCATGTGCCATTAGTGTCATTCAGGAGCGTAGCCTGGGGAGGGGGGCGGGGAGGGGGGGGGCGGACCGCACCGGGTGACACCATTTAGGGGGGTGACACCAAGGCAAAAACCGGGTGACACCATTTAGGGGGGTGACACCAAGGGCAAAAAATAGCAAAATATATAGAGAAAAATGATAATTCCACTTAATTAAGTGATTAATTCGAATGTTAAATAGTCTTTTAAGAGGGGTAAATCGAAAGTTTGAGGGGGTGGGGGGGGGGGGGGGAGGTGCAAATTGAAAGTTTGAGGGGGGGTGCATATCGAAAATTGAAAGTTTGTTCCCGGGAAAGGTCGCTACGCCTCTTGGGGGTGACACCATTAAGTGCCGCACCGGGTGACACCCGACCTCGCTACGCCACTGGTGTCATTAAAAATGATCACGTGGGTTTTGTTTACCTAGCGATCATCATGTAGGCGGGAACGATTCCCGTCGTCCCCAAGAGCATCCCCGCACTGAAGATGACCATATATGGAATGAAGAAAGGACAGTCTAAACTACACAGGCCGGGTCTTGCGGAACCTCCTCCATTGATCTCAGTACAGTTGTTGAAAATCTGAATTTTGGAGGAAATATTATAATACTTATGATCAGCATGTTTCTCTTCCTAAATATTAGTAAAGGTATCCAATAGATAATAAAGTAACCCACGCCTTGCTTTATAGTTATTTAAATAGTAGTGTATAATTTATTTTCTTGTTTTTATTGCATTATTACATAAAAGCTTGTTATTAAAATGTTTTTTTTATGAATTTTTTATAAATTGAATACCAAAAGCAAAACGTTGTTTATTTATTGGAGAAGCAATTATACGTATAATACATGAGTAAACTTCAAATTAATTTCACTTTTGCTAATATATTTCAAGTTTGCTCAGTTGGTTAGAGCGACGTGCTGATAAAGCGAATGTCCTGGGTTCGGGTCTGTAAAGCTCATAGTTTTAAAGTCCCGAGTTCAAACCACGAGGCAGATAAGGCTCGATACCTAAGGGCAGTAACTCCTCTAGGAGAGACAACTCCAAAATCAAATTACTGATGCTAACACGGCATCACTGGGCGTATGATCTTCTAGCAAAAGTCACCGACCAGGATACAATAGTTCCAATATGAACTTTGACGTGCTCATGATCAAGGCGAGCCACCTAGATGGAGACATGGAGAGGGGTGGGCACCGCTACGCGAAATGTAGTCCTAGACACACCACTCCGTGGACACTCAACGACCCTAATAAGGGTTAAGGGATTATTTGTTATTTATTCTATATTTCAATTTGACTTAATTTTTAAACACAAGATCTTGTATTTTCCCCTAAAAGTTTCAATTTTTAAAATATTTAGGACCCCAAAAATATTAAGCTAGTAAGCTATTTTAAACATTTGTGTTGTCGAGTTCACTAGGTTTTTAAACATTAAAAAACAGAAACATTGATTTTTTTAAAAAACTGAAATAATAAAATTCCGGCTCTCACCTTGCTGGTAGAGTTGAGACACCCAGCCAAACACGGGGACAGGTAATCCTGGTTGTTGTCGCCGCAGACGAGAAACACGTCATCACCACAGCCACAGGCGGCGCTGCTTCTAATATTTTAAATTGATAAAATAAGTTTAGAAACGAAGCATTTTTAAAATGGTGCGGCGTGGTCTAGGGGTAGAGAACACGACAATAGCCATGAAGTCTCGATTTCGATCGAAGAGATACGTAGGGTGTTTATGTGTCTTGATAAAGGGAAAAAGACTTATGTCTGTCGCTACACAACACCTTGAATTGCCGAGTTCGAATTAATACATTAAACCTACTCTATCTGCCTAATAGAAGACTTTAGTTTCGTTTTATTAGTATGAAAGTCTCTTTACAAAAATACCGTTACAAAAAAACCGTTTCAACCAACAGTGGTAGTAATATGATTGAGTACAAACAAATCAATAAAAATTAGTTTTCGTTTAATATGATTGATATCTACGGAAGAATTGTTCATTTCGGTTTAACATTACGTTCAAGTTGAACTTGAATGTGTTTTATGCTGCATCTAAAGATGAATAAACGTCTACTTTGTTGCAGTTCTTGTTACCTAAACCAGAAGGGCCGTCTGGTTGACAGGTAGAGAACACTCTTGTTAACTATGACGACATTGAGTCTCAGAACAGGTAACTTAAACCTGGTTTACGTTGGTGACCAAGGAGCATTAAATCAGCTGGGCATTGGACTCACAATCCTTTCCTAACCCAAGCTACACTACAACTCTACTTCAGCTATACCACCAAGACGAGTGTACCCTAACTTACATTTGACTCTGCAGTCCGACAACGTCCGAGTTCTGGCACCCGAACACCAGGTATGTCGAGTCCAGTGCCAGCGTTGCTGCGGCGATGATCATCGTGATGATGGCGCACCCGCGGAATGCAAGCTTGAGCCGGGAGGTGATCAAACCTCCCAGAAATGTTCCAATAGCAAGGGAGAAGATGATAATCAGGCCTGGAATATAATACAATACATTACAATACATACATACATACATACATATATATATAATTATATATATATATATGTATGTATATATATATATATATATATATATATATATATATATATATATATATATATATATATATATATATATATATGTATATATATATATATATATATATATGTATATATATATATATATGTATACATACATTATTATATATACACGCCTACATTTAGATATATATATATATACATATATAACGGCCTATATATATATATATAGGCCTATAAAAGCATATATATATATATATATATATATATATATATATATATATATATATATATATATATATATATATATACAGAGAGAGACTTACATATTTATATATATACACATATATTGAGTAATTTGATATTCCTTTAGTTAAACTAACCTACCTGTAGTTTAGCTAACCCATCTGTAGTTAAACTGACCTACCTGTAGTTAGGTTAACTCCCTGTGGTTAAGTTGACCTACCTGTGGTTACGTTGACCTACCTGAGATAAACTGACCTACCTGTGGTTACGTTGACCTACCTGTAGTTAGTTTAACCTACCTGTGGTTAAACTGACCTACCTGAGATAAACTGACCTACCTGTGGTTAAGTTGACCTACCTGTAGCTAAACTGACCTACCTGTAGTTAGGTTAACTCCCTGTGGTTAAGTTGACCTACCTGTGGTTAAGTTGACTAACCTGTGGCTAATCTGACCTACCTGTAGTTAAACTGATCTACCTGTAGCTAAATTGACCTACCTGTAGTTAAACTGACCTACCTGTAATTAAACTGATCTACCTATAGCTAAATTGACCTACCTGTAGTTAAACTGATCTACCTATAGCTAAATTGACCTACCTGTAGTTAAACTGATCTACCTGTAGCTAAATTGACCTACCTGTAGTTAAACTGACCTACCAGCGGTTAAGATGACCCACCTGTGGTTAAGCTGACCTGCTGGGAGGTTTTGTTAAACTGGGTCTCGATATATTTCTGCGAGAAAGCGAACCATCCGGAGAAGGCCATGCCCTCAATCACGGAGCACACGACACACAGCACGTACAGGGGGTTGCGGAACATTCGCCACAGAGACTTCGGCATTTCTGGAATCGACCAAACGGGAATTATTTTTGCTCTAAATTATAATGTAGACCAAATGTTGTAAAATGAGGAGAGAGACTTTGGCATATCTGGAATCGACCAAACGGGAATTATTTTTTTCTTTAAATTATTATGTGGACAAAATGTTGTAAAATGAGGAGAGAGACTTTGGCAATTCTGGAATCGATCAAACGGGAATTATTTTTATCTACATTTATAAAGTGGACAATATTGTGTAAAATGACTAAAGTAAATGAGAGGGAAGGGGTCTGAAGATTTTGTATATGATCTGTATGTGTACAATTTATATAGTTATCTAATTGCGAGGACATATCTCGGGGACATAACTCATAACATTGCTACAAAAGAGGAAAGAGAAAAGATCACAACAATATCGTAAAGGTAAGTACAAGGTTCCCAACAGCCTGTGTAACCCTAGTTATGTTTTAAAAACTGTACGCAGTGGCGTCAGTTATCTAATGGGGGGTGGGAGGTAAGTGGGTTTTGGTCTTGAGAAGAGGTGTGACGAAGGGGTGGGCAGAAAGTGTGACGTAACATTGTTGTTAATATTTTAAAATTTGCAACTTTCTCGCATTTGTAAAGACTTTTTTAAAAATTGTATTTGCAATTGTACAATGTAGATATTGTTGGGGAATACATTTAAAAAAAAAGAAGAAATAACTGTTTTTAGGGACAGAAAGGTTAATTTTGAGTGGGGGGGGTGTAGGGTGAAGTTGAAATATTTACAGGGTGATAGTTGGGGTAAGGGGTGGGGGGGGGGGCTGATGCGATTTTTTCGACGTGTGACAAAGAAGGGGGGGGGGGGGGAAATATCGCCCAAAACAACGATGCTTTAAGAAAATTCGGGGTGGTTAAACAAACTATTAAATATGATTCACTTTGTTTTGAATACAGAACATTTTGTGAGTTCAGCTATTTTTCTTCTGCAAAGGTGTGACCAGTAGCGTATCGAGGGGGGGGGGGGGTGTGCGGACCACACCGGGACACCATTTAGGGGGGTGACACTAAGGCAAAAAATAGCAAAATACATAGAGAAAAATAATAATTCCACTTAATTTAGTAATTAATTCGAGTGTTAAAAAGTCTTTAAAGTCTTTTAAGAGCAAATTTGATTAATCCCGACAAGGGTGGTGGGGGGAGGGGTGCAAATCGAAAGTTTTAGCGGGGTGCAAATCGAAAGTTTGAGAGGGGGGGGGGTGCAAATAAGAAATTGAAAGTTTGTTTCCGGGCGCCGGGAAGGGCCGCTACGCTTCTGGAGGGGTGACACCATTAAGTGACGCACCGGGTAACACCCGACCTCGCTACGCCACTGGGTGTGACATCACACTTTCGTTACACAAGAAACCATAAAAAAAACTTTTCACAAAAATGCTATCAACCATATACTTTTACCAACAACAAAAACAAACCTAAAAATGCCCGTTTGACAGCCTGAAGTTTGCCTAGTTTCGATTTCTCGTGTTCCTTCTTGTCCAACTTGGCAAGCCTGATGTGTCTTGGGAAGAACGCGATCGGCAGAGAAAACAGGCAACAAGCCACGCCTACTATGACAAAACCGAGCCACCACGCGCCAATCCATCTTTGGTCACTTTTTGACATTGTTGTATCTGAAATCGATTTTAAAACAAGAACGTATAGGAAACAATTGGTAAAATTTTTATGGGCTTTTACTCATGTCACATGATCTTTCTGTTTTCTGCAAATCTTTTCACTCCAATTTCATCCGCGTGTGAGATTTCTTGAGCGACCAATACGTGCTTATTTTAGACTTTTTTTTAAAAATCCGGGCGTGGGGGGTGGGGGTGGAAATGAAAATTTCGGAGTGAGGCGCACTAAATTTTGCGGGCGGGGAGGGGGGGGGGAAGCGGACACTGGTGAAATAGTAAGTTTTCTAAAATAAAGTCTTTTTTGTTCGGGGGAGGGTTTAAAAGAAGCCCCGAGACTAAAGCTTTTTTTCTAGTAATTGTCTTATTTTTAGTGTATTTAAAAGGATTTTTCTAAATAGAGGTTTTTAAATTTATTTTGCTTCATTTCATTAAATGCTAAAGTTAACTGTAAATTTTTTTTTTCTTTTTAATTCATTGGAGGGTATTTCCTCCAACACAGTTAAGTATTTCGTGTCAACATATTATGCGCCATAAGTCCCATGTACTCAGACTACAGCCCACATTTTAATCTGGATTTGCTTTCCATCCAATAACAAACTACAAGGCAGCAGTTGTTTAATTTTGGGTTTTTTTTTTCTCCGAGAGGGGTTGCTATCCCCAACTAACAAGACTCATTTGCTCAAGGTCCGAACTCGAGACTTTAACTTTCAAACAAAAGTTACTTCCAAAATTAATCAATCAATCGCCGCAGTAGCGTAGCGAAGGGGGTGGACATATGTCCCCGGGCGCCGACCTTATAGGGCGCCAAAATGGGTTGGAATAATAAATTGAAAGGTTGAGGGCGGTGCAAATTGAAAGTTTGAGGGGGGGGGAGGGGTGCAAATCGAAATCTTGAGGGGGGGGGGGGTGCAAATCGAAATCTTGAGTGGGGTTGGGGTGCAAATCGAAATCTTGAGGGGGGTGCAAATCAAAAGTTTGAGGGGGGTGGGGCAAATCGAAAGTTTGTCCCCGGGCGCCGGGAAGGGTCGCTACGCCTCTGAATCGCCGTTACCTTTCTATCTTATCTGCCAGGATGATTAACCTTCATTAAAAATTTAATTTTCTTTAAAAATATTTGTTAAATCAAATTTTTTTCTATTTTCTATTTTTTATAGAAAGCTTTGCAAATAAATCATGCCCATACCACTGAGGTCAACCGGAAGTGAACTGACAAAACTTCCCAGCAACAATGCAATTGGTGGGCCCAAAATCATAGCGGTGAAGGAGTTTCCTGGGGGAAAAATGAAATGTTAAAATACGGTTAATCAGAATGTAGACTTAACCAGTGGCGTAGCTACCGTAAAGCTAGCGTAAGCAAGGCATAGGGGCCCAAGGCAAATAGGGACCCTTTTTCGAAAGTTTGAGGAGGGTTGCAAATCGAAAGTCTGAGGGGGGGGGGGTGCAAATCGAAAGTTTGAGGGGGTGCAAATCAAAAGTCTGAGGGGGGGGGGGGGGGGGGGGTGCAAATCGATAGTTTGTCCCCGGTTGCCGGGAAGGGTCGCTACGCCTCTGAGGGGCCCACTAACACTTTTTGCATAGGGCTCAAAAATCCTAGCTACGCCACTGGACTTAACACATACGTTGAGTTGAATTTTTTTTTAAAATATTTGTTTGTTGTTGTAGAATTGTAAGCAATTATATTCATGCATTTTAAAACCGACTCATTGCAATATTTCTCATTCATCTATTATATTATCATTCTTTCTCGTTGTTTATATTAACTATGTAATATTATTTCTTTATTCTAATTCTTTAAATGCTATGTTAACGCTATATCACTAGTCATTTCCTTTTTTACAAAATTAAACTGATGTTATTATTATGTTGTTGTTTTTTTTAAACGACCAATGTGAAAAAAAGCTTACTGTTCTTACCGTTATTGAATAAATTGAATAAAATTCAAATACCCAAATATAGTCCAGACTTTGTTTTGTCCTTAATGTTTGTCTCCACGTAATGTGTCACGAGGGGGATCCTGTAAGATTTCACCATCCCACAGACCACTGAAGCCAGGACAAACACCCAGAAGGCCCAGGGCAGGGCAGCTGGGCTGGAGGCGGCGCCAGAGGGGTACGGCCTGGGCTCCGAGAGGTCAAGGTCGGTTAAGTTTGTTCCGGAAGTGATGTTGTCGTCCATGTTTTCCGGTAGACATAGGTACTTCGTAAAACCGTTTTCGGTACCGTTTGGGTTGGAATTGATCACCGTGGCCTCTGGTGATAGAACCAAGTCAGATAGGTATTAGTAATAATAACAATTATAATGAACTAGATAAGAAGAATTAAATCATTCGATATGGATAAAATGGGTCTACGACGTCACTTCCACCCCCCCCCCCCCCCACCGTCAATCATTATCTTTTCCCGTTTGTGTCCAAGACACATGGGGCAGATGAAGTAGAGTTCATAAATTTCAATGACATCGGCCTACAAATAAGCAATAAACCGCCTTTGTTTCCCTAAAGAGTTAGGTACCCATCAGAGCTGGATGGACTCGTTCTTTTGATTTGAACCCAGATTCGAACTTAAGACTTTCGGGTTAGCAGTCTAGATCTCTACCGCTAGGCCTCGACGTCATAATCTCCGAATAATTACCAATTCCTGGTAGTTAGCCCCTCTGGTAATTACCCCCTCTTGTCAATTACCCCCTGTTGATTACCCCCTTCCCTGGAGAATATCTTAATAGATACCCGTTTTTCTATTTCTGTATCCAGCTCCGAACTCTACCCTTATCGGGGTAAATGGTCATTTATTAATAAAGCAGAACTGGGAAATGTCCTAATTCAGATTTTCCGGGCGATGTTAATTAATCTGAGGGTAATGACGTATAAAAAAACCCAGGGTAATTAATCGGAAGTAATGGCAGGAAAGTAGTTACCTACTCCTGGTCAAGCTAATGAAAATTACTAACACATCTCTACCCTACCTTTATCACCCTCTCCCATCTGCGCTCATACAATTTACCCCCCCCCCCCCCACCAGTATGTGCATCTCTCAATGTTCTAGACAAAATGTATTCTTGCCTTGCCAGACCTTGGGCTGCATCAACTTCCCCAGTGACATCACCATGGCCATGACCCCAAAGATGACCCCGGACACAGACAGCAGTCTCGGGATGTGCAGGTATTTGCCAAAATGGCTGCCGAACAGGACGGCTACCAGGTAGCCTATCTCGTTGCTACTCATGATCAGACCTGTAAATACATATCGTTTGACCAACTGGACTCTTATGAACATTTGACCAAACGTATAGGCCTATAAGTGGATAATGGTTAACTGAACTTTTGTATAGAAATAATTGTAGTACTTTCAGTAATAATACTAGGCAATAAAATCATTTATGACACTTTTTCTGTTTGCGCAATTTTCCGTTGCGCATTTGTTATACGCATTTTTCCAATTGCGCATTGTTCTTGGAACTTCCAGTAATATATTAAGTCATAGGATATTATTTAAGTTTCACTTATATGTATGAATTGCCCAATGTTATATTGTCGAAAAATACCGTCCTTCTCGTTTACTTTTCATTTGATATTTACATTGTATGATTGTTCTCTACATATGAATTTTAAGAAGAAATATGTTTATTTCTACAACATTAAAAAGTCCCCTTTCCGGACCCTGACAACCCACTGGGTAGGTGAAATAAAATGCATCTGTTTCTTGACAACGGTACATGAAGTTATAATGTAGTAGCACTATGCTCAGCCACCTTTACTTTCCCTATCGTGAGTTATGTATCAATCCAAGGTAAGTAGACTCAGGGACGTCTAGCGGACTAAGGAAACCTCACATGAAGCAACATGTCATTATGACAGGAGACAAACTCAACATGTTTTTGTATCTAGGCAAGAACAAATACGCCTGATATGTGTTTGAGTTAGGGTTAGTTGTAAATGTTTCGATAAAAGTTCCACTTTCAGACCTAACGATCCAAAAGGCAGATGAAGTAGAGTTCATATGTTTCTCGATCTCGGCATATGAATGGATGATGTGTAAAGCCGCCTTTAGTTTCCCTAACGCATATGTTCTATATTTTTTTCGTCCCGAGAAGAGAGGAGGAGGGGGGGGGGTTCGTACTCGAAAAATTCATGAAAAAAAAAACCCACTCAGGTTAGCAGTCGAACGCTCTACCACCCGACCACGCCGTCCTATTGTTTGGAAGATGTGTTATTAAATTTTTAACCAAAGGATTAAAGCTAATCTAACAGGGTGTAATCGTTTACCTGTTTTGCTGCTTGAGATCCCCAGGTGTCTCTCTATTGACGTGATTTGTGACCCCAGCAAAGATCCCATGGCCATTGTCCAGATCCCAGAAATCCCGTAACAAACGACGAACGCAGGTAGAGTGGGAAACCCTGGAAGTAAACAATCACAGATTATAAGGTATGCAATTAGGGGGGTAGAGCACTGGGCTGCTAGCCCGAAAGTCTCGAAGTTCGAATCCGGGTCCAAGTCAGTAGATCGTTCCTGAGTTCACCCAGCTATGATTGGGAAAGTACACACACACAAAGATACACCCATACACTAGCATTCAAACTAGTGTAATAAGTTAGAGGTGCTATAATTAGACTAATAGAAAATCACATAAAAATTGCATTAAGTGCTTTGATATTTCTTTGTGTCTTCCTTTTTATTTAGTAATTTATTTGGTAATTTAATAGTTGGATTACTTGCTTAGCATCTAGATCTAGGGTCACAAAAAGAAATAGTTAAAACTATTCTGAAATTATAAAATTAATATCGTTGTTTTTTGGGTTTTTTTTTTTGGTTTATTTTATCTATTCGTTTAGTTATATCTTTAAGTGAGATATAATTAAAATAAAAATTCTATCCCTAACAATAGCTTCGATTCTTATCTTTAACCTCAAACTAACAGCGATATGCCGTAAATACGAGGGATAAAGTCATGAATCTCCCATCAGCGATTGCGTAATATCAGGTCAATTCGTATGGTAACAAATGATGACAGTAACTTACTTTTACACAGTCTAGACCTGCAGGGCCCAACACAGCAAGTCCTCTTCAGCATACTCGGCATCACAGTCTATCTCATCTAGTTCGTTAGCTGGTCTCTTCTCTTGGCTAGGGTTATAGAAAATGGCATTGGCAAAAGATTAGAAACTGTGGGTTTAGGATATGATACAGTAGGTTAAAGAGTTTAGGTTACAAGCTGAAGAGACATAGTTGTAAATAGACACAGCTGAAAATAGACACAGCTGCAAAGAGATACAACTGTAAAGAGACAAAGGTACGCTAAAGAGACAGCTTTAAAAGACACGGGTACGCGAAAGAGGCACAACTCTACGCTAAAGATACAGAGCTGTAGAGAGACACAGCTGTTCGCTAATGGATACAGCTGTACGTTTAAGAGACAAAGTTATATGCTAAAGAGACAACATTGTACGACAAGAGACAATGCTATATGCTAAACAGACCAAAACAAACAAACAACGATATGAGCTAAAGAGATAACTGAGCATGTGGCACATTATTATATATATTATAATAGACACTCTACATACTAATTTTTTTTTTTACTAAAGAGACAATGTTGTATGCTGCCGAGGCATCACGGTAATAAAGAATCTATGTATATAATTCTCTACGTGGACACCACCACTACGCAAGCTGACTATCTAACCCTCCTCTAGCCCCATCCCTCGCCCTCAGGCATGTGCAACAGACCATATCGCTATCACATTCTGCTGAGCTGTGGTTCACGCCGAATGTTTACAATCGTAGAGCCGGGTCGAATTAGGGACGGCGATTAGGGGCAGATAATTTAGTTTTTAAACGATTTGAAACTAAGGGGAGGTAACAAGTTCTGATTGATATTTTTCTTTTCTACTGTTAACTGTCCTCACGAACGGCTGCTTTCACTGCGGCGGGGGAAGGGTGGGGGGGGGGAGGAAGAAGGAGGGTAGTGTCGAATTCACAAATTATAAATTACTGAAAAGTAGAAAATATAACACATAAGTAATATTTAAGAAGAGAAGAACAAGATCTATCGTGCGCATGCGCAGATGATGTCTTATTCACATTTAGACTTACGTTGATACTGGACCATACAATTTCCCATCAGGCCCACGAATAGTCCTCGAGACGAACGTTATTCTCGCGTGTGTCGTCTGCTGGATCTGTGTCGTCGTGTAGAAACTGAAGTCTTCTTAGAGCGTTTAACGTTTCCTGGGAGCCAAAGACGTAGGCTGCCTCTTGGTACTGAAACAAATGTAGGGAGATTTTTGACAGACCAATAGCGTCACAAATCAAGGGGCGGTGGGGGGGGGGTGCATTCCACATCGGGTGACACCATTAAGGGGAGGATTCACATCGAAAAATCGAGGTGCAAAGGCGTAGCGAGGGGTGGCGGGGGCGGGGGGACTATGTCCCCGGGCGCCGACCTTAGGGGGGGCGCCAAATTGAAAGTTTGAGGGGTGGGGGGGGGGCAATTGAAAAGTTCGAGGGGGGGGCCGGGAAGGGTCTCTACGCCTCTGGGAGGTGTGTAAGTGTGTGTGTGGAGGGGGGAGGGACACTAAACTGAAAATGCTTAATTATTTGTTGGGGTGGGGTGTCGGTTTAAATGGGTTTATCGGGTGGCACTCGATGCCCGTGAAGCAACTAGGACACACGTTGCTGTTATATCATACACTTACCTACTTTCTGTGTTCCCTCTAAACTGCATTTGGTAAAATACCTATATCTACGCTTAAGACTTTAAGAACACCGCGCACACAAAATACAAGTTGCTTCACATATTTTCCCCCTAGTTGAAACGTTGCCTACCAAGATAATTTAATTTCATTTTCTTCTTCGTTCTTAATAGGGCTGGTAAGTAGGTCACCAACCAGTTATATGGCTCATGCAGGTTTTATTGAACCGTATAACTGGTTGGTGAGCTACTAACCAGCCCTATTGTAATATTGAAGGGGGTATCTTACAACATAATTATAAGTATTACGATTCAACACGTTATGCGCCAAATCACCCGGTTGGCTCCAACTACAACCTGCTTTTCCTTCATGGTGTGTTTACATATCCTTGTCCACCGAGAATAGACTACAAGGCAGCAGTTGTTTGATTTTGGAGTTGTCTCTCCTAGATGAGTTGCTGTTCCCAGCTAGCGTGTCTTATCTGCCCGTCGGTCTAAACTCGGGACTTTTGGAGTGTACAATCTTCCGCTCTCATGCCCGAGCACGCCGACCCTTAGAGTTAATTACAATTAGATTTAATTATTTTAACAAACGTCATGAAACGCCGTGATGTTACCAGTGATGTAACAGCCATAACAAAATAATTTCAGGTCAAAACTACATTAGACTGCGTTGCCTAAGCGGTTCGAAACCGGGTCAAGTCCAGTGTTTCTTCCAGACTTTTTTCTCCGGGGGGGGGGGGGGGGGGGGGGGCGGACACTGTTAAAGTATATATTTTCTATATAAATTATATAAATTTCATTTCGTTCGGGGGGGGGGGGGGGGCTTTGCCCCCAAAGAGATGCCTGGAAGAAACTCTGGTCAGTCAGTATAAAGTCCTTGAGTCCACCCAGCTCTGATGGGTACCTTACTCACGTTAGGGAAAGTAAAGGCGGCTGGGTATAGTGCTGACCACAACTTCCCTTTATATACAGAGGTCAAGAAACATATAAACTCTATTTTATCTTCCCAATGGGATCGCGGGTTCTAAAGAGGAATCTTTACTTTATAAGCATAGTCTAGCTGGAATTCTCAGACTCGCTTGGGTAAGATGTCTCTGAGTTCTTCCAGCTCTGATGGGTACCTGACTTACGGGGAAATAACGGCGGCTGGGCATAGAACTGAACACACTAAATTTTATATTCCGAGATCACAAAAATAGATAAACTCTACTTCACCTGCCTTTGTGGACCGCCATGTCCACAAAAAAAAACTTGAGAGAACAAAACATAATGGGTTATGATAATTAAATACAATTATAGTTTTCCAAACAGAGTTTCTTCCAGACACCTCTTAGGGGAAAGTCCACCGCCCCCCCCCCCCCGCCGAACGAAATGGAATTTATATAGAAAACATATTTTTACCAGTGTCCGCCCCCCCCCCCCCCCCCCCCCCGGAAAATGTTGATCCCCCCCCCCCCCGAAAATATCAAGTCCCCCCCCCCCCCCGGAGAAAAAAGTCTGGAAAAAACACTGTTTCCAAACCCATCAATTTTTTAATTTACAAATTACTTATTGAGTAAGAAAATTGAAAATAATTTTCATAGATATGCTAAATGGAGGAAGTAACTATAGAAATTAATTGTTACTTTGATTATTTTATTTATAATTGTCTCAATGGATTTAATCCGATGATTCGTTTACCCAGAACTGTACTGTTCCATCAACCAGTCCAGTGGTAAAGCGTTCAACTGCTAGCCCAAAGGTCTCGAGTTCGGATCTCGGGCCGGATGCATGGCAACAGTACGTCCCTGAGTCCACCCAGCTCTAATGGGTACCTGACACGTTAGGGAAAGTAAAGGGAACTGTGTATAGTGCTGACCGTACCACCCCTATATGCCGAGGTCAAGAAACATAAGAACGCTGATGCCTCTGCCCTACGGATCGTTAGGTCTGTAAGGGGAACTTTATTACCCACCGGTATAAACAATATCGTGTAACATCTAGATATTCTAGATTGGAGTATACTAGTCGTGCACTTGGATTGACCGACTTCCATCCCTCTGGATATCCGTGTGGTTTCATTGTGTTAGTTTATGTGTGTATGTGTGTGTGTAGGCCTATCTGTGTGTCTGTTATCTGTGGAGTGGGGTGTTCATTTTCAATTTTAAACGTTAAACTTTACAAAAAATAAAAATATGCTCCTGTTAAGAATATTGGGCTACAAATGGAACGCCTGTGAGTGAATAAGCTTTTAGCCTGTGGGGTGATGAGGGGGGGGGGGAGGTGAAGAGCAGTTACGACCACCCTTCTCCTAACCCTAGGTAAACAAGATAAGAAACGTAGTGTGACTGCCTAGTGTCATAAAAACCACAAGAATATTTTTCTATGTCGTCTGAATACTTTATTCAACATTTACCCTTCGTATATTAATGTACTTTCTTTTTTCAGTACACGTATGGAGTGTACACAGAATGGAGTTTACACAGAAAGGAGTGTACATAGAACGAGGCATTGCTCGCTGATGATTTCCTAAATATTCTATACATAATACCCGCCAGAGGCGTAGCGACCCCCCCCCCCCCTCAAGATTTCGATTTGCACACCCCCCATCAAACTTTCGATTTGCACCCCCCCCCCCCCTCAAACTTTTGATTTGCACCTTCCCCCTTCAATTTATTTTTCCAACCCATTTTGGCCCCCCTAAGGTCGGCG